ATTCACCTTCCAGGGCAGAGGGAGGGAAGCCTGGAATGACGTGGTCCTCCAGCCTGCAGAGCCCCCGGCCCAGATGCCTCCACCCGCCCCCTCTTGATGATGTGAAGGGGAAGGGAATTCAGTCAACTGAGCAGCGGTGTGGAAACGTGAGCGCCTCTAGCAAGGCCCTGCGGAGGGACCGCGGGCCTCTGTGGCTAGGCCTCCTGCTGATGACCCGCCCGAGCAGTGACCCCGACCCTGCCCAGCAAGGATGTGGGGCAGCTGGAAGGGAAGACAGTGGAGAATCAGGTCCTGCGGGCCCCTGCCCCCTCAGCCCCACATGCCCCAATGCCGAGGGACGGCTGTGCTCGCTCCCAAGGGTGGCCATTGTGATGGGCGCCCAGCCAGGTCCCGCGCCCACTGCCCACTTCACCTGCGGCGCCTGCGGCTCCTCCTCTTCACTCTGCAGGGGGCAGGGCTGGGGCATTAACACCCCCCCCCCACCAGCGAGCCCTTGGGCAGGTCAGTCTCTCTGAGATGCCCAGACCCCTGGTGGAATCGACACCCCTTCATCAGCTCCTTCCCTCCCATCTCCATTTTCTGACTTGTGCTTCCCAGGGTCACCCCTCACAGAACCCCCCAGTGCTTAATCCCTCAGCCAGACGGGAGCCACAGACAGGGCCTCTGGGTAGAGTCCCTTGAGTGGGGTCTGGGGGGGGACTTGTCCGCAGCTCCAGAACACTCTGCCTTTCTGGCCGGCCCCTCCTTGTCTGGGTGTCTCCCATGGATGGCGGGTGTGGGTGTCCCCAGGCCCAGCACCCCTAACCTCACAGACGGCTCTGGCAGGGCTCCTGGCGTCCAGACCTGACTCTGTAAGGGGGCTGGGCTGAGGAGGAGCTGGGTTCACCTACACCTTTCCTTGGCCCAAGGCCGAGCTAGGTGGGGAGGGCACGACTGGACGTGACCTCTGGCCCCCAAATTCTTGCAGTTTGGGCTGAAAGTGAGGCAGGAAGAAGCCTCACCTCTCCCAGTGACAGACCCCCAAGTCCCAGCCTCCGGGTAGCGGGTACCTGGTGACTAGTGCCAGTGCGGAGGGGCTGGCAGGCCCCGTGGCCCCTGCTCACCCTTGGGCCATCCAGGCCCTTGTGCTCCCTGGGGATGTGAGGAGGGGAGAAGCCAGGGCAGCCCCCATGGAAGCTGATTTGTGACACCCCAGGTTTGGCAGTGGGCCTGGGAGGTTCGGGGAGGGGCCGAGGGGGCAGCTTGGCCTGCCCAGCCTGGGGTCCCTTCCCCTGTTTGCCCTGCGAGCAGCCAGGCCAGGAAATGACGTGTCCCTCGCGTCCCTCCCTTGCGCTGCTTCTCATTACTGCAAACCCCGGATTAATTTAATTACACGCTCATCTCCGAGAGGCTGCGGCTCAGAGGCGCCCAGTGGGATCACGAGTTGCCCGAGGCTGCAGGGAAGGCAGCGCCTCCCTGGGAACATGCCCTCCCTGGGGTCGCCTGCCCTGGGCGGCTCATGCATCCCTCTGCAGGGCACCTGCTCCTACCCCAGGGGCCAGAGTCCGCCCCCAGTGCCTGGCAGCAGGTCCTGCGAGGCAGGGAGGCTGGTCAGGGATGTCCAGGAGGCAGCCAGGGGTAGGCAGCCTGGGGGCCGGGTCTGCCAAGGGCAAGGCCCCCAGGGTGCAGCTGGGGGTGGGGGTGGGAGGGGGTGCCCGGCCCCCCCACCGCCTCCCTCGGACTTGAGACTTGGCTGGCATCAGTGGCTGTGCGCTGAGGGTGTCCATTCAGTCCTCACTCCCCTTTTATAGAAGAACGTACCCCTCCCTGGTCTAGGAGTGCGTCGCTTGGGCACGGCGAGTCATGAGCACCGAGACTTCAGTCTCTGCCTCGAGAGCGCCTCCCTGGCAGGACACCTGCCTCCCTCCTGAGTGCCCTTCAGTGAGGGATGTTTCACGCCCTGCGGGGCATGCCCGGTCCCGACTGGGGCGCGAGTGCTTTCGTGCTGTGCAGGGTGGACACACTTCCAGGCCTCGCTGGATGGCGGCCGGGTGCGCCCTGGCCTAGGGGCTGCGAGTCCGGCAGCTTGGGTGTCCCAGCGGGTCGGCCGCCTTCCTAATTCTACTCCTTCGGGGACGCTGCCTGGGGCTGCTGGTGGTGAGAATGTCCTCAGACGCTCTTGTGCTTTTGAAACAAAGGAAAATGGGCCCCTGCTCGAGGCTGCTTGGAGCTCGGAGCAGACACAGCAGACGGCTGAGGGGGGTCAGGCGCAGTGGCCGTGGCCCTGGCAGTGCCCACGTGTGACCCGTGAGGGGTGGCACTGGCTTGCCAGGCGGGGCAGGTGGGGTGCTGTGGGGTGCCAGTGGCCCGTGTCCCATCTCAGGCTGGCTCTGTCACCGCTCTCTCCTCCCTGCCACCCTGGGAGGAGGTGTGGGCCCGGTTGTGACCATGCGCTGGCCAAGCAGGGGTGCCCATAGTCGTGGCTCACCCCTAGAACTGGCCGCAGGAGACACAACCTCCTGTGGCCAGGAAGTCCGGGGCGGGAGTGGGCAGGGCGGGAGCGAGTGACCCACTTGGCCCTTGGGGCTCCTCCTGGGCCTGGGGGGCCGTGCTAGGGCTCAGGGAGCAGGAGTTGGCTGGGCTGCATCAGGGGCCGGGCAGCCCTGAAGCTCGGCTGACGGTGGGGCTCTCTGAGAGCTTCTTAGTGGCGCGGTCACCTCTGCATCCAAGCCCTGGCCTGCAGGGTGATCCTGGGTGGGGAGAGAGGGGCTGGGGGGCTGGGCCCCAAGGCCCAGTGGGGATACCTGTGACTTCATCTGGGAAATGGGGATGATGCCTGCTTGACCCTCACAAGGCTTCACCGAGGTGCCTGATGAAGGGGCTGCGGGTGTCACACATGGGGAGTCCCCCACCAAGGGTCAGGTAATGACTTGTGAGTTAGCGAGCCAGCAGGTTCCTCCATCCACTGCTTCCCAGTTGGTGTTCCGGGAGCCTTCTATAAACAGCATGCATTGGACATGTCGGGGAGCCCTGGCTGCACCCCATCTCCCACACCCTGCTCAGCAGGGCCCAGCACACTCAGAACACTGCGGCTTTTCCCATCAGACCTGTTTGTGTGGCTGGACACGGGGCTGCTTGTCAGTGACGGATGGGTGGACGCAGGCGGGTGCAGGCTGGGACCGCAGTGACCCACCCGGGGAGGGTGAAAGCCAGGCCAGCAGCTGGCCGGGTTCCTTGCCTGGTCTGCCCCACGCTGGGTGGGCCCCCTCCTTCTCCACCACGGCCCAGCGGTTTAGTCTGTGAATAAGCCACTTTGCCTCAGAGCCTTGATCCCTCAGCTGTGGAGGAGGTGCTGGGGGGTGGGATGGGGGGTATCGCACCAGGCTGTGGCAGGGCTCCCCAGAAGGACTGTGCTGGTCAGGTGTCATCCCCAAGGGCGAGGGTGGGGTTCTGGTGGGGAGCCGCCCTGCTCCTTCTCTGGAAGGGCCCACATTCCTGAGAGGTGACTGGTGCTGATTGGAGCTGGTGGGGGGTTGTGTAATCCCCAAGCAGTGATGGGGGGCTGGGCGCCCATGCTCCCGCCTTGCGCCTGGAAGAAAGCTCCTGGGCCTGGTCCAGCATTGGCCAGGCTGGCCTCTGAAGGGTCCTTCCCACGAGCTTGGGGAACACAGTGACCCACACATGCAGGCCTGCGCCCTGCTTGCCTCTGCCAGGGGTGGACAGACACTGTCCTGTGGCAGCACCCCCACCCCCTGTGCCCAGCCAAGACCCCACGGGCCTGTTCCCTGGGTCCCCAAGCCGCCAGACTCGTCTGGGCATTAGGTCTGGGTTTGGTTGAAGGGCCCTTGTCTGACGCCTTCTGAGATAAAGGGCGGGTGCTGTCATCTGGAACAACCCTGCATCCTTTGAGGGGCAGACTGGTGGGGGTAGATGGGGCCTGGCTGGTGGGGGTGGGTGGGGCATGGCTGGCATCTGGGCCTTGTGAGCTCCACTGAGGTGCTCCTGGGAACAGAGGCCCTAGCCAGCCCCTCTCTAGGCTGCTGCAGACCCCGGGGCGGGTGGTGGGGGTGGGGGGAGGTGCTGCTGTCTGCACCCAGAGGGGCCCCCACACCCACCTGCCTCTGTGCTTGCTGGGCTGGTTTGGTCCCCTGGCCCACCTGTGCTGCTGGGTCCTCCAGCAGGCCCTCCTGGCCTGGCCACTTTGTCACCTCTGCCCCATGCCACGCTAATCTCCAGCAACCCAGTGCCGTGCTGGAATTTTGCCGGCTTCTCTGATGTGATACTGAGCTCAGGGGTCGGGGGACACCTCTGCTGCAGCACTTTGCAGCCATTGACTGTTGGGCCGCCCCCAACGGCCCCATCAGAACCTGGGGGTGGGGCCTCCCTGGTGGCACAAGGGGTTAAGACACAACCTATGAAGGAATCTGCAGCCTCTGCAGCAAGAGTTCCATCCCCGCCAGCCAGGGAGCAACCCACGTGGCGCAGCAGACCTCTCCTGTCTCGCCCGCTGCTCCCCTCAGCAGTGTACTTTGGTCAGTCTGCCTGTTCTGCTCCCCGCTCTGTCTCTGGTGGATCCTCTCCCCGCTTCCCCATACCTCTGGCCTTAAAAAAAAAAAAAAAAAAAGAACCTGGGGGTGGCTGGTGGGGATGTCCCAAGGCCGAGTCCAGCACCTCTAGCTCTGTGCTCACCTCTGGAAGAACCTGGGTGGAAAGGTGGCCCACTCCTGCCACCCGTGCACCCCCACCCATGTGCCCCCTGCGCGCCCCCACCAGGTGCTCCTGCGCGGTGGGCAGAGGACTGTGGTGCTGACTTGCACTGTCAGGGCTTGAGTTTCCCCACTGTGGGGGTGAGGGGGACACCCTCTGGACTCGGGGCCCTCGGGGGTACCCTCTGGTGTGATGGCCCCTCATCTCTTCCTGATAGGTCCTGGAACCCCAGACCTGGCTCCACGGTGAAGGGGTACGTGGGGGGCTCTCCTGCGGGTGTGTGTCTGATGGTTTCTGTCCCCCTGTCGTTGCAGATCCCTCGTCCACCTACATCAGGCAGCTGGAGACCAAGGTGAAGCTGCTGGAGGGTGACAAGCTGCTTGCACAGGTGGGTGCCCGGTGGGCGGGTGGGTGCCCACACGGGGGCCCGTGTGAGCCAGTGAGCTGTGCCGCGTGCCACGCGTCCCTCTCACGGGGCTCCTCCCTGTCTCACCTCTTCTCCCACCTGCCCGTGCTGCCTCTCAGGCCGTGGGGCCACAGACGTCATCTCCCTGCCCAGCCTCGGGGCTGCCCTTCATCACGGCCTTTTGCCGTCTGTGCCCCTGTGCGGTTCTGGGAGCACCCATCGCTGGAGGACGGGCGGTCCTGGCTGGAGCGCGGCCCTTGGGCCCTCGCCCGGAGCCACGAGAAACCCCCCGCCTCCCCGGGCTGGGGTCTTCCTGCTTCCTCCCGGGCCTGCCTCCACCACGTGTCCCTCCTGCGCGCAGGAGAGCAGGGTCGGGGCTGGGGTGGGGAGGTGCGGGGGGAGGCCGAGCAGGTAATGGAAGTGTGGAGGGGCCGGGACTGCCCAGAACGTGGGCCCGCCCTGCTGCAGGGGGTCCCCGGTGGTGGGAGCCCTGCTCAGCCCGGCTTGGGGCGCCGGGAAGCCAGCCAACTTGGCTGACCCTCCAGCCTCTCCCCTGCACCCACCCCTGGCTTATCTCGGCACCCCCTCCCCACACTCGCTGGCCCCCAGGCGGCAGGCGGATGCCCAAAGCGTTTCTCTGGGAACCGACCCCAGGGCAGGCTCAGCTGTCTGGGCCTGTTGCTAGGCGACGAGCAGACTTGGCACCCCGCCTCGGGCTGCCCGCGGCACCGCTCTGTCCACTGCGTGGCCGCCGGGAGGCTCACGGCCCCAGCGTGGAGTGCAGGCCTCACCCCGCACGGGCCCCATGGACAGTGCCCACGGCCCCGAGGACTCCGCAGCGTTCATGGTTCCCCTCTGGGGTGCCCCTCGCCTCACCACCCCCGACCACCACCCCACGCCAGGTTGTGCGCTGAATGGCAGGGCTGTGTCTGTAACTTTAGATGTTGGTTTAAGGCCCTGTAAGCAGAAGGGCTTGGCCATGGACACGTTTGCTTCTCGGGGCTGGTGGGGCGGGCGGGGGGGTGGGAAGATGTTGCTGGGGCCACGCAGGTTGGGGGCGGGGGCTCCTCACACCCATGCACTCCAGGGCCCTGACCCTGGCCAGTTGCAGTGGCTAAGGCGAGGGGGCTGTGGGGTCTCTTTGGGAGCCGCAGGCAGAATGGGGGTGGCGGGGGCAGCATTAGGGCGCGGGCCTCAGGTTTTGGGGCAGCGAGCGGGATGGGGAGTTCTCGCTGCGGCCACTGGACCCAGGATGGAGGCCGCACCGCATCTGGCCGTGGCCGCCGGGGCCAGTGGCCTTAAGTCCGCCCGCTGGTGTCGCTGTCTCACGGTCCCTGGCGCGGGTGCTGTTTGCAGTGCTGCTCTGTGGCCTCCCTGGTCACGGCTTGTGGTCCTGTTCCCCAAGGATGGAAGCGTCCCTGACCCTCAGCCCCTGTGTCCTGGCTACCGCAGGGACAGCCGCCCTGCACTTCCCTCTTCCTCCCTGTGGGCACCCTAGTCTCCCGAGGGACTGCCCCAGGTCTGTGTCCACTTGCTCCACACTAAGGTGTTCAGAGGCGGACAGGGCCCTGCGCCTGGGGCTTTGGGGACCACAGCCGCTTGGGCGGGCTGGGGGTGGCTCTTCCCACCCCTTCCCTGTCCCCAAGCCTGGTCTGAGCTGCTCCTGGGGGTCAGACCTGGGGCTTGGCTTGGAGGCACTGCAGCAGGGTTCTGTCCCCAGCTGTGCCCACTCTGGGCCGGGCACGCTGGACCCAGACATCTTTCAGATGGGGTCCCTAGCCCGAAGCCCGACTTGCCAGCTGCAAGAGGCTGGACTGGGGTGCAGGGGTCGCAGGCGTTTCCCTACCCGACCGCTCTCGGACTGTGCTGGGGACTCCGCGTACTACGCGGCGCGTCCGAGTGGCCGATTTCTGCAGCTGAACTTTCCTTTCTCTGGCCGAGCCCCTGAGCCCAGCTCTGCTGCTGGTGATGGGTGTCCCTGGGGCTGGGGTGGAGGTGGCGGTGACACCCAGCTCCCATCCCTAGTCTCTTAGTGAAAACCCTGCTGGTGGGTAGAGGGTCTTGTCCAGGGTCTCCCAGCTGGTGTTGGGGGGTCAGGGCCACACTCAGCATCTTGAGAAGGGGGACAGCCGTGTGGCGCTGGGGTCTCAGCCCCCTGGAGCCTCGCGAGTTGCCTGCCCATGTGCACTTGCTGCAGGGGGGGACTGGCCCTCTGCCTGATGCCAGCTGAAGCACCCAGGGCTTGGTGGCACTATGGGGCGTCTCCAGGGTGTCCCCAGGGCTCCTGTTGCTCCAGCTTTATGAGGCTCCTCGAGCCCCCACCTCCATCTGCTCACCTATAAAAGGGCGCCCAGTGTTTATCTGGTCACTTGCTGTGTACATGGCCCTGGGGTGCAGGGCAACCAGGCAGGGGCTCACGTGCTTGAGGGCGACTGGGGACTGCAGAGGTGGGGTGTCCCTGGGTAGGCTCGGCATCTCTGGGGTTCAGCACTGCTGGACTGGGGGGATGCACCTTGGGGAACCCCTAGCTGCCCCCACCCGGAGTCTGAGGTGCAGAGGAGACCCTTAGCCAAGGGAGATCTGCTCGGCCGCAGCATGCTCATCCCTGCAGGCAGCTGTGATGCCCATGGCATTGTGGGGCTCGAGGAGAGGTGGCTGCTGGGCGGGACTCTGGCCTCGGCCTGGTGGGCTCTGGCACAGGAGATTGTATGACTGGTCCATAGATCTTGTGAAATCCCAGTGTGCAGAACAGGGACTCTGCCCGCTGGGGAAAAGCAGGAGAGAGCAGCGTGGGTCTTGGAATGTCTGAAGGGGACGTGGCCCCAGGTCAGGGTGGGAGGCAGGGCCTCCGCGGACACCCTCCACCCCCCCCCACCCCGTGGCCTCTATTTAACTCCAAAATAGCTTTAATTAAAAATGTGCCAGAGTGTTCACAGGCTAAATTACTGTATTGCAGTTCGTATTTTCTTTCTCGTGGCGGCTGTAAAATTTCATCAACACAGCTGCTTCCTCTTGGTGATTCATCCCAGCCCGTACGCACACGGGGATTTTTCCTGCCGGTTTCTGAGCCAGCCGGCTCGCGTGGGGGCGGCTGTAACTGCCGCTGCGGCCTCGTGCTCTGCTCCCCCCAGCTCCGCCACTGGCTGATGAGCGATAAACCCGTTCAGTGCCGGAAGCGGCTTTGTCAAGAGCAAGAGCCTTTGGGTGCTTGCTCCCAGGGTCTGGCCTGACCCCACCCCTGACCCACACCTGCTGTCCCTGTACTACCACACAGGGTCCCCGAACTCTCAGGTCGCAGGTGACCCCTGGGTTAATACCATGTGCAGACGGGGAAACTGAGGCTGGGCGGAGGAGGATTTCCTGGCATGGGGGACGTGTTGGTCCCAGACACTGAGCAGCTAAATATTGGGCCTGTATTGTCCCATGGCCCCAGGGCCAGGAGTGGTTGCGCTGAGGCCTTGAGGGGCCCTGTCCGGGCCTGCCTCCTGGGCTGGAGGCCGTCGTGTGCCCCCTGTGTGCCCGCCTGCCTTCCAAGTCTCAGTTTGTGCTTTTCAGGAGGACGCCCACCCGGTGGCCTCAGTCAGCTGATCACCCCTCCAAGGACCTGTCTCCAGATGGGTCCCCTGTGGAGGTACCGGGGCCGGCGAGCCTGCGCCTGGATTTGGGTGTGTGGGCCACAGCTCGGCCTATGGCCACGCAGTCAGTCTGGTGGTGTCGGGAAGTGGGTTTGGGCCCTGGATGAATGTGAGTTCAGGTCCCCCTCTGCACTCACCTAAAGGGCTGGTGCACCGTGTCCTGGCGCCTGGGAGGGCCCCGGCGTGTCCCCAGGGAGTGGGAGGCACCCAGGTCTGAGACACCCACCCGCCCTGCATGAGCCTCTCCTCTCTGCCCTGCGGCCTGCGCCCGCGGGTCTGAGTGGCCGGTCCCCTTCGGGTGTCTGCATGTGGGGGCCCGGTGTCTGCACCTGCCCTTGCTTCCACCCTGCAGCCCCTGCTTCCCCTGCAGGCACTGCCCCCCTGCCAGAGTGCGCACAGTAGGTGCTTCTGAAACAAAACTGCTGCAGCAGGCAGTCCCCTTCAAGGAGGCAGGGAGGAGGGGTGGGTAGCTCCCCTTGAGTGAACCCAGAAAGGGGCCCCACCCACAACTGCCCCCTCCCCCCAAAGTGGAGTCTTCTCCTTGTCCTGCCCCTGCCCGTTTCCATTCAGCACCCCTCCAACAATGCTCCCACATATATTGCGGTGACCCTGAGGGGCCCCCAGCTTCTTAAGCAGGAACCCATAGGGAGATGGGATGGGAGAACGGGGGTGTCCCCGTTCCCCTTGCTGCCCGTCTCGGCCTGGCTGAGTTGGGCAGTGTGGCAATGACACCCCAGAGGGAGGCCTGGGGTGTGCTCAGGTCTCCAGACCTCGGCCTGTGACCCGGGTCCCCCAGCACGCTGTGGGGCCCTTTGGGGGCAGTTGGGATGGAAGGGGTATGCTGAGTGCTTGCAGCCCCCCTTTATTTCCTTCCCTTTGGATTCCAGTGATCCCACGGCAGGGAGCAGGCTGAGGCCCACACTGGGGGTGCGGGAGGATGCCTCCTCCCTGGCCCGAGGGTCCCTGTCAGGGGGCTGCAGGTGGGCCAGGCGTGCCCTCGAGGAGCATCCTGGCCGCCCTGCATGTTCCCCGGGCTGCAGGCCCAGCCACCCCAGAAGGTGGTTTCAGCTCCTCCCTCTTGGTGATGAAAACCTCAGAATTTCATTCTTCCAGGCACCACCAGGCAAATACCAGGATTTTTAATTTGGATTTAAGAGCCATTATGGTGCTTCATTTCCATGTGTCATTAGTCACGCTGCCCCTCGAGAGGCTCTCCCCGCCAGCTCTGTGGCTCGCTAATACAGTTCTGGAACACGCGAATACGTGTAACCGTCAGCGAGGGCCGGGGTGGGAACCGCAGCTGCTAATTAATAAAACCCGCTCCCCCCACACTCGCCTCCTCCCGAGCAGCGGTGGGGGAGGAGACGGCAGCCCCATGTACAGCAACCACCCAGGGCCGCACCTTGGCGCTGGGGCCGGACTGAGCCCCGAGCCCTGAGTGTAGACGGTGTGAAAACAGTGTAGACTTTAGTGGGTGACAAAGGGCAGTGCTGAATGTCTTGGCCCCTGGGGCTGGTCGCCCTGACTCCTGTTGGTCCCCAACAGGGTGGCCTACACCGGACCCCAGCTTGCGGTGGGTGTTCCTGCAGAGTGGTGCTGGGGGGCGGGGCAGCCCGGGCTTAGAGCTCTGCCTGTCAGAGGCCTGGCCAGGGCAGTGATTTTGTTTGGGAATTGGGGGTGGCCTCCTCCAGGGGGGATGGCCTAGGGAGACAGGGGTACCCTGGAGGGGTCTCACCCATGGAGGGATGAGTGAGTGTGGGTGGGGGCAGGGCTTCTCTGGATGCCTGGCAGCAAGGGACTGGACCCCACCAGCTGGCCAGGGCAGATGTGACCCCACAGCTCGCTGCCTCTGGTTGCCCCAGGCCCCCTGGCAAGACCGCCCACTTTCTGGGCCACCTTGAGAGGTGCTGGGGTGACCTTGGCTCACAGTCAGCCCCTCTGCAGACCTTGGGGCCAGTTCTCAGATACATGGGCAGGTCTTTGCACTGGCCAGTGAGGTGGGCACCTGGGTGGAGGTCTGCGGTCAGGATAGGGTGACCCAGGCCTGTGCTTTTACCCTCTGACAGCCTCCGGGAGCATCTTCCTGAACTCAGCCTGCCCAGGGCACCAGGTCTAGGCACCTGGAGACCCGGGGTCTGTGGGGGCTGGAGGACGGGGCCCAGGAGGAGGCAGAGGGCATTCCCTGGCCTGGCGTGGGACCCAGCTGTGGGGTCTGGGAGCAGAGGGATGAGGGTCTTGGGTGGGAGAGCTGGGTGCTCATTCACCCACTCACCCCCATGTTCAGCTGTCCACAAACTCATCAGGAGCAGAAGGGAGCCCTGCCTCTGGGCACTGACCCTCTGGTGGGGAGACAGAGGCTGATGATGGCAGTGAGGGCGGATGGGGTGTGAGTGGGCTGGCCCCCAGGAGGGCGCCTTGAGGGTGAGGGAGGGACCCTCGCTGGGCACAGTCTGGGCCTGCTGAGGGAGCTGCCCAGGGTTCTGACGGACTGCCTTGGCCCCTTGCCCCCAACCTCTGCCCCTGGTCCCCCCACCTCTGCCCCCTGGTGCCTCACCTGTGCCCCCTCTCCCCCTGCAGCAGGCAGGCCCCGGAGAGTACCGGACGCTGCGGAAAGGCTTCTCCCCGTACCACTCGGAGTCCCAGCTGGCGTCCCTGCCGCCCTCCTACCAGGACTCCCTGCAGAACGTAAGTCCCCCCCCCACCCCAGCACTGTCCTCGGGTGTGCCCCGTGTCTGGGATCCGGGGGCAGAGTCCCTGGAGGCCCAAGGTGCAGGCGTTGGGACCTGCCTGGGGACACATAGACAGCCCGTGGCCCAGTGGGCCGGGCCCTCCCTGCCAGCGCTGCCTCCAGGTGCGGCGAGGCCGGCAGGTCGAGGCTGGGGTCACGGCCGGGAGCCTGTCCTTCTCCCCCGGCTCTCAGGGAGGGAGGGGCTCTGAGGCTGAGGGTGGCAGAGGCGCTCGGGTTGGCGGCTTGGCAGCTTAACTTGCCTGTGGTTATCCAAGCTACCCGCGCGGCCGGGACGCCGACTCGCCCTGGGCGGAACGGGAGGGGCGGCGTGGGGCTGGCCTCTGGACGTGGGTGCCTGCTCGGCGCAGCTCTGGCGTCCCTGCTGTGTCGAGCCCTGCTGGGTCCTGGCCGTGGCCTCCCTGCCCCACCTGTGCAGACGGCGCCTGCGGCACGGCGGTCTCTGCATGCAGCGGCCGACCAGCCCCTGAGGGGGCACTTAGGGAGCAGAGGGGCGCCCAGCTGTCCAGCCTGCTCCCCCCATGCCCAAGGGGTCTTTGGGGAGCACCCGGCGGGCACAGTGCCGAGGCACACCATCCTTCTCCTGTATTTGCAGTGCCAGCGTCACTGATAGGACCTTAGGCACGTCTCACAGGCAGCCCCCAGAGGCTGGCTGGCTTGGAAAGTGCTGGACCACATGGCCTTTATGGCCACTCCTGGTTGCCCCGGAGCAGGTCCTGGGCTCCCTTACGGAGCAGGTTCCCTGAGTGCCCGTCTGAAAGGGGACATGAGGCCAAGCAGGTGCTTCCCAGCACCATGCGCATGTGGCTGTCGCCCCCTGCTGGCCATCAGGGGGAGAGCACCTGTCCAGTCTGGCCCCTCCTGTGGTCCATCCCACCCAGCACCCGGGATCCCTGTTTGGTTCCCCCACATTGCAGACCTGGACACAGGGTTCTATTGTCCAGATGAGATGAAGGCACAGAGTAGGGCAGGTCGTGCCAGCAGAACCTGGTCCAAGCCCAGCTTCTCGGGCCCCAGGGTTGTGGGCTCAGCGTGGTGTGGAGCCCGGAGCAGGCTGCGCTTGGGAGGCCCTGGGAGTGGGCCTGGGCTGGGCAGGTGGGGCCAGGAAAGGGGGCATGGCAGTCCACTGTGGAAGGTTCTGGGCCCCAGGGTCCACACAGCACCGCCTTGTCTGTGGACCCCAGGCTGAGGGTACCTTTAGTTGAGCCTACCTGGTCAGCTGGTCACTGCAGGGACCCCTGACCAGGAGGGTCCCCAAGGTGCCCTGGGAGCCCAGCACCCACTCTCCTGCCCATGCAGCCCCATGCCTGGGCGGGCGCTTTGGTCCTGGTGTTTCTGTCTGGCCTCCAGACTCACCCCTCGATGACCCCCTCCCCGCATCTCCTGAACCCCAGGCTCCTGCTGGTCCCAGGGCTCCTCCCTTGAGGCCTCTGTGAGCCCCTTCTGTGGGGTCCTGTGTCCCTTCTAACCTTGCTCTAAGGAGGGGTCCCCCTATAGACTGAGGCAGAAGCTCTGTCCCCCCATCTCCTGGGCCAGAGACCCTTGTGGGGGAAAAGTTGGGGAGGGGGCTCTGATACAGATGGGCAGGGAGTGGGGGGCTGAAGCCCCCCGACCTCCTGCCCTCAAGCTGACATGGAAGCGGCCAGCTTGATGCCAACAAATGTTTCCAGAATGAGGTGCCAGGAGGGTGGGGGCTTAGAGCGGAAAGAGACCAGCCCCAGCAGTGCGGGCGTTGTAGGGCACCCACCTCACCTGGGGGTGCTCTGACGTGGCAGCACTGAGGTTTGAGTCCAGGCCCCTCTGTCTAGGGTAGGTGGTCTTTGGGAGTCTGCCCTCTGATCTGTACCAGCATCTGCTGAAATGACAATGGGCCTTCTGGGTGGACTGTAGAGTAGCCGCCGCTGGGCACGTGGGGCCGGGTGTGTCCTGCCCTTCCTTGCCGTGGTCAGCTCAGCCCCCTCGTACTGCCCAGGTCTGGCTCCACAGAATCTTGTCCTCTCTGAGCCACTGGGCCCACCCGGGGCGCTGCATAGGACCAGCCAGGTGAGCTCAGCGGTGTGGTTCTCCCACAGGGTCCGGCCAGTGTGGTCCCCGAGCTGCCCTCGCCCCCCTCGGCTGGCTACAGCGCTGCGGGACAGAAGCCCGAGGCCGTCGTGCACGCCATGAAGGTGAGGGGCGGGCCCTGCCCTCTCCAGGCGCTCCCTCAGGGGCCCCCACACCCTGGCATCCCACGGGACCCAGGAACCTGGGACCCCACGTTTGCCCTTTCTGGGTCCCGGGGCAGCAGGTGGGGGCTGGGGGACTGTGACCCACATGGGGAGGGACTTTGGGGTGCTGGGTGGCAATATGCAGTAAGGAGCAGGCCTGGCCGGGTGTTCCCCAGGGAGCAGGATGGGCTGGGATGTCCCCTCCCCCACAGCCACATGCACACCCCACAGGCTCCCCCCTGTACAACATATATACCACCCACAAACCAACCCCCCCTGCTACCCCCGCCCACCACAGCACCCCCCATGCCCCATGTGCTCCAGAGGGCTTTGCGGCCTCCTTGGTGCCTCCGAAGCACAGTCTGGGGAGCCTGGCTGGGGTGACCCACTTGTCTGAGCATGGTCTCTGCCCACTTATCTGTGCTGCCCCCAGGGGCCCTGGCCTTAGCTCTGCCCCCTTCGGGGTCGGGAGGGCACTGTTTCCCTCACGTGTCCTCCACAGTGTCGCTGGGGTGAGGAGGGACGCAAAGGCCGGCTACCGTCGGGCGCCCACGCCGGAGCCAGACCCCGACCCCGCGGCTGGGGCTTCTTGGCTTCTGCTTGCAGCTGGGGAAGCTGAGGCTCGGGGTATCACCCGAGGCCACCCCTGGGGCTCTGCCCTGATCCAGGCCCGTCCTCTGCAGGTCCTGGAGGTGCACGAGAACCTGGACCGGCAACTCCAGGACAGCTGCGAGGAGGACCTGAGCGAGAAGGAGAAGGCCATTGTGCGCGAGATGTGCAACGTGAGCCCTGGGGGCCGGGCCAGGCCGGGCCTGCTGTGGGAGGGGCTGCTGATGGGAGGGGCTCTGGCCCAGGTTCACTTCCCCTTTTCCCCAAGAATGGGGTCCTCGGCCCCCACGCCCTGGGTCCCAGCTGGTGCCCCTGGCGGCCTGGGAGGGAGCCCCTCCTGCGATGAGCCGTGTCTTTGCCCCTTCGCGGGGGTGCCAGGGAGGTGCTGATCCTGGCCTTCTCTGGGTTGGGGTTTTCTGAACCCCTCTCCTCTGTGCCTCCCAGGGCCCCAGGGCCCACTGTAGGGCAGCGAGGCCGAGCCTGCGACCCAGCCGTGGCCCGCTCAGGATGGCAGGCCTGGTCGGGAGGGCGCACCTGCAAAGACTGGGGCTGCGTGTCTAGAGGCCTGTTTCCCCTCCTGGCCAGCGGGTTGCTGGAGGGCCCTGCACTCACCGCCTGCCCCCCCACAGGTGGTGTGGAGAAAGCTGGGGGACGCCGCCAGCTCCAAGCCCTCCATCCGGCAGCACCTGTCCGGTAACCAGTTCAAGGGGCCGGTGTAAGGCCTTCTCAGGGATGTGGACTGCCCGCCGGCCCGGGAGCGCAGACACGCCGCAGCTCCCTGGCCTGCGCCGAACTGTACATAGAGCGCTGCCGCCGCCCGGCCCGCGCCCCACCAGCAACCCGGGAGACGCTGCCGACTTCCCCGCGCCATGGCCAGTGGCAGCTGGACCTGCTGCAGGGACACCACTTCCCACCGACCCGCGGTGGCCTGACGCCACTCACCCCGCAGGGGTCCCCGAGTCGTGGACAAGGAAATTCTGTCTGTGGCAGGGTCCCCAGCCCCCCTGCTGCCGAGCTCTCGGTGTTAGATTTCGTGTCCCTCTGCCCCTCACACGCACACTCTCTGCCATGTCCCGCGTCTGCCAGGCTGCGCCCTGGCTCTTCCGGTCCCTCCTTCCTGCTCGTGCCCAGGCAGCTCCGTTCAGCGCTTCCCTGGCTGGCGAGCAACACAGGAGGCCCCCGTGGCAGGGTCTCGGGCTGAGCCAGGTGGGGAGCCTGGGCCAACACCGCGCCGGCGGTCAGCTGCCGCGGCCCCGGGGCCTGGCCCCACTCTGGGTCCCCGTGGACAGGGCTGCTGGCCTGGCTGGCAGGCGTCTACCCTCCTTGGAAGGACTGGCCCTAGCTCTAGGACCTTCTGCAGCTGAAGCTCTGGTGGAAAAATGAGGTCTCGGAGCCTCAGCCATGCCCCCGGTTCGAGGCCACCAGCCTTCTCTCGTGCACAGCCAGGAGCCGCTGGGGTGGGCCTGCTGGCTGGGCGGGCGGGAAAGCAGAGGCCCAGGCTGAGATCCGCTGCCTGGCTGCCTCACTGCAGTGGACAGTCACCTCTCCTCCGAGCCTTGTCCTCTACTACAGAGGGGAAGCCGAGGTCCCCCTCGCAGGGCACTGCGGATCGAGCAAGGCCTTCCGTGTGATGGCAGATCACGGGCTGCAGTCTGTGTGCGGGAACGAGGCCCAGGGCGGTAAATGGCCAGCAGCTCCCAGCACCTGAAGTGGCCTCCACTCACCCCTCAACCATCCCTGTGCCCCTGGTCCACCCGCCCTTGGGTCCTACACTCAGGGGAAAGGCTCCAGTCCTCACTGTGCCCAGGGGGAGTGGCGCTGGCACTGCTGACGGCGACAGGCATGCTCCCTCGCCCGTGGGGCGGGAGCGCGGTGCTCATTCGGGAGGGAGCTGGCCCTTGGGTCAGGTGGTCAGCAGGGTGGCGCCTGCAGCTGGGCGAACACCGTCAGTCCCAAGACTGGGTGACTCCTGCCCATCTGGAAAGAGCTGGAGGCATAGAGGTGATGCCTGCGGAGTAGCCCCAAGGGTCTGGGTTCTAGTTGGGTGGGGGCACGCCTAGGAACCGGTCTGTCATTTCTGGATCGGGCTGGCTTGGCCGCCACTGAAAATAAGCAATAAGTCAGGGCCCGGGGTCCGCAGCTCTCGCGCAGACAGGCCCAGCCAATGGGCCTTCCGCCTGGAGGTGAGTGACCCTGCCCCGACGCTGCCCGGTGTCCAGGTAGAGCGTGCCTGTGAGACCCCTCCTGCCTGCCGTGAGGCAGCAGCAGCTGGAGCAGATGCCCCCTCGCCCTTGCTTGCGCCCAGGCCAGCATTGCCCAGGCCGGCTTTCCAGGGCAGGAACGCACCATGGTGGGCACCTCACTGACATCATAGCTGGCAGTGCCTCTGGGCCCCGTCCTGGTGCCGTGCACCGCGGCAGCGGGAGCCCATGGGGGCTGGCGCAGGGCCGGGCGACGTGGGCATGGCAGGGTGACCGTGGCAGCCGCCCGCCCCGCGCCGTGGCCCTCAGCGCGCACAGTGGGCGGGGTGCTGAACTCGGTGTCCTTTCATAAAGGTCCCTTTCCGTTTCCAGCGCTCGGATTCTCGGTGTTGAAGCCCGCGTGACACCTATACTGTGGCTTCCGTTCCCACTGTGACGGCTCGCCCTCCAGCCTCACCCAGGTGGCCGAGCCCAGCCCGATGGGGCTCTGCTGAGCACATTTTCTAGGGTGGCACGTTTTTATCCAAAAGCTATTAGCTACACATCAGTGTTTAAAGAAGAAAAAGTGACCTTTCTTTTTTTTTTTCTTGAAAACTTGAGAGGAAACAAAATACATACTACTGATTTTTTTTTTTTTTTTAAAGAAACAGGATGCATGACTGCAGGCAGTAGAGGTGTCTATTTTTCATAAAGTGGGGGGAGTATTTGTGCTGCTTTCTGGGAATGGGCTGGAACGTCTGGTTTCTGTCGCCGGCGGGCAGCCACGCTCTGTCTTCTGGAGAACGTGACTGCCGGGCACCGCGCCTGCCCGCTCCCAGCGCCCACAGAGCTGGGATCCGGGGCCTCCTGGGCCCGTTTCTACCTTCATTTGAACCACTCTGATTTGGGGAGAGAAAGAAATAGAACTTTTTGATAGCGTGGTAAAACATTGATTTGAACTATTTTAGTAAAAGGAGTAACAGAGAAGATTGTGATAGTGTCTACTTTGCGCTAGATAATAAAGGCTCTTTGCAAGCCTGCGGCTGGGTGTGCGGTGCTTGTCTGTCGCGGGCAGGGGGATGTGGCCCTCGGGGCGGCTGGTGGAGACCACTGGCAGCTGCGTCTGAGGCCCGGCTAGGTCGGGGCCAGAAGGAAGGGCTTCGCAGCCGAGCCCGGTCTCACTCGGCCCACAGGGCCTCCGGCAGTCCGGAACTCGGGCCGCTCCTCGCAAGGACACCCACACAGGCGCGGGACGGGGGGCTGGCCTAGATGTGGGGGAGGTCGGGGGCCCCGGCTTCGGGAGTCGAGAGCCCGCCTCTGCCCACAACAAGCCAAAGGGTCGTTTCAGAACGTTTATTTGGATAACTGAAGGAGTCTCGTTTGTAACCAAGATGGAATTCACAGTATGTTGTTACATTCACACTTAAAAAATATATCTCTATGTACAGGACTTTGCAAATCGATGTAAACATACATTACTTTCCAAGTCCTTTCTCCCCTTCGCCTGGAGGAGAAAGAAAAAAGCCACCCAACAAGGCCACCCCTTCAAAATAACTTTAATACAAAGACTGCAAATATCTCTAAATCAAAAATGTGGTTCACCTGATGTAGCGGGCGTCATGGGAAAGAACATCTCGGAATGAAAGCGATGGCAACAGCCTGACCTCAGATGGAACTGGACGATTTAAAATTGAGTTTCCAGGAAAAATAGGCACTGATTTCTAGAAGGAAAGTCACTCCTTACTGAAGCTATTTACTGAGCCAATATGGCTGGTTAACACCTCCCTAGTATAAAGGAACCCAGTGCACTCTCGACGACACCGCTGAAACCAAGCACACGGTCGATCCCAATGGGCATTGCCCAGGCTCCCTGAAAGCCGCTGTCCCCACTCCCCAGCTGTGGAGGGTCCCCCAATTTCATCCCGTGGGGCCAGTCACTTCTTCCCATACTGCAAGTGTCTAGCATTATACAAGGTACCCTGCTGCTCACCCACTGAAACTACTCTTCAAGTTGGTTAGAAAACTTGGTAAAAAACAAAAGGACAAAAAGGCCTTCACGTTATCTCATCCAGGCTGCCCGCCCCAGCCCCCCACGGGAGGCATGCCGGGTGGGGGGATGGGTGGGGGCACAGGGGGCTGCCCTCCAGGGGGCACCGCTGGAGGTGGATAGCTAGCAGGTGGCAGGCCCAGGCCTGGAGGAGGGTGAGGTGGGACCGCATGGGTGGGGGGCAGGCGCGGGGGTGGGGGTGGGAAGTTGGGGTTGTAGGTGGGTGGAGGTGGGGGATAGCCGGGAGTAGGGGGGGGAATGGCGGGTGGGGGGAAGGAGGCTGGGGGAGGGGGCACTGGCGGCGGGGGCGGGTTGGGGGGATAAACATGTGGGTGGTAGGGTAGGTGAGCCGGTGGCCCATAGGCGGGGGGCAGGGCGCCGTAGGAGGGCCCCTCGGTCTTCATCATGGACTGCAGGCTCTGGTAGCCCTCTCCCGACATGTAGGAGCTGGTGGTGGACATCCCGGTAATGTAGCTGGAGGGCGGTGGGGGCGGGGGCCGGTGTGGCAGCGGCGGCGGCTGGTGCACAGGGGCCGGGTGGGCCGGAGGAGGAATCTGGACTTTGGGAAGCTCACTGCCATCCACAGGGCCTGGGGGTTCAGCCTCACCTAAGGCAGCCGTGAGGGGGGGCTTCCGGTCTGCAGAGGAGAGACAAGTCACTGCCCAGTACAGGGCGGCCCTGCGGTGCCCAGGGCAGCGGCCGGACCTACCGACAGCCTTGGCCGCGGAGGCCAGCGCGGGAGAGCACGGCGGCTCTCGGGGTTCCGGTGCTGCCAGCACTGGTGGGCTGCTGTGGAGGCCCCAGGGCGGGTCCATGGCGAGCAGACCTCGCACCTTCGCCATCAGCTCACCCCATGCCTGCCACACAGCCCTCCCATCCACCAACCCGCGACCAGGGTCTCCCCCCGTGACCCCAAGCACACCAGCGCGGGGGGGCCCAGCAGCTCAGGGAGACCCCTCTTCTGCCTGTCTGCACATGCCGACAGCCCAAGGCCACCTGCAAGCCTGCCCGTGGTGCTGGCGTTGCCAGGACGCCCCAGCGCCGGTGTGGCGACAAGGTGGCAGGTACGCAAAGGACGGACCAGTCTCTGACGATCCCAGTGAAGCCACACGTGCAGGATCCCATTTCCACCTCACGGAGGAGGTTCTCGCTCCAGCGCCACGGGCCTTGGAGCAGCTTCCGCGGAAGACGAGCGGGCCTGGCCGGCAGCACCAGCGGCTCCCTGAGCGCCTCCTGCCATGGGCTCTCCCACAGGCTTCTGGCCTCAGCTCTCCCCGCCCCTTACCTCAGGGTTTTCCCTGTGACTGCCCCTCCTCCTTGAGGGTCAGACCAGGGGAAGCCAACACCAAGACAGGGTGTCCTTTCTAAGGCAGCCCCCAAGTCAAAGATAAGTCACAGGCCTTGAGGAGGCGCTGGTCCCCCTACTTTTCCTCGAGGGCTCCTGGAGCCGAGCTCCTTGCAGTCCTGACTGTGCACCCAGAAACGCCATGTGCCCAGGGAGGCGGCAAACAGCTATCGCCTGCGCCGTCCACCCCAGGGCAATGTTCTCGCCAAAGCGGGTGCGAGCAGCTCAGGACTCCCTCTGTGGTGAGCAGCCGGCCACTGCTCAGCCAGCAGTCGCCACGCCTGTGGACAGCCTGTGTTAGGCCAGGACGGGACTGGAGCCCTTTGGTTCTAGAAGCTAACTGGAGGAGCCAACTATGAATCAAAGTTGGCAGGAACCACCTGGGTCCAGACGTGCTCTGCCAGCCCCGAGAACTCGCCTCCTGTGACACCAAGTCGCCCATGCACCCACCTGCCCCACGACATGAGTGGGAACAAAGCAGCATCTCCTGTCAGCTCCACTCCCTTGGTACACTCTGCCTCTGAATGCCCCGTGACCCAGTGCCACTTCTTGCCTCCTGTGCCTCCTGCATGGGAACCGTGGCTCTTCTCTCCTAATGTGTGACTCCTGCGCCACCCGCCACAGACACCTGCTCCGAGGGAGCCCCGCGGCCTCCCACCAGCCCTGTGCTTCCAGCTCCACCTCTGCAGGCGCAAGCCACCCCAGCCCCGCGGGAGCACCCTGGGTTCTGCAGTGCTCCCAACGCCCTGCCCGTGCCACCTCCACCTCCTGGTGGCACCCCCCTCCCCGCGGGCTGGAGGCCTGCACGGACGCGTAGGGCTCATTAAAGTCACACTGAAGCACGGAACGTGGGTTTACTCCCATGTGGAGAACGACACCTCTATTCTTTCACTTCACAAACTACCACGACTGATGAAAAGCAAAGACGCTTACTAGGCCACAGGCACAGGATTCTAGGAGCCTGTAGACCGGCCCCAGGCCTGGCAGCAGCAGCAGCAGCCAATGGGACGTGCCGACGGAAGTTCACTGAAGTCTCCAGAACGTCTACCACCCTCTAGAAAACACACCTAACGGCTGCCTTCTCCCATTTCACGCTGCCAGAGGTAGACGCTTCTCTACAAGCTTCTCCTCCACTTTTAACGCTTCAAGGAGGCTTCCTAGCACGCTGTGTACCTGTTGAGAACTTTTCATTCTTTAATTTATTCTCCACGTGACTCAGAACAATTGCTTATTCTTCGTAATGTACTGAGAAGATCCTGCCAACGGGAAGCAGACGCGAGACGGGTCTGAGCCGCAGCAGTCCCGCCCGCATCCGGGCACCTTCATAAGCTGGCCGGCTTTGTTTTCCTAAAACTGATTCTAAATTCATTTATCTTGGGTAGTTCGCTTTTTCTGGATGTGAGAGGTCAGACAATATTCACATATACTTTGAATTTACAACATCTCCAAAATGTCTGGTTGGTTAAAAAACAACTTTTGAAAGATTCTTGGTCATTACTGTCTTTTAAAATTTTGACTACAAAGTCTCCTTCTACAAACACTTGTCAGGACTTCCCGAGCCTGGCGTCAGAAATGCTCGCGAGCTGGCATCGGCGCCCGGGCGGCTTCCCAAAGCACTTACCTGGCGGCGGGTGGGCCGGAGGCAGCGGAGGGTGAGTGGGCTCAAGTTTGGGGACTTTAGGTGGTGGCGGTTCTAAAAAAAAAAAGAAAAGGTAGGTCAGGAGTGCTCGGGACTCCGGGGGACCCGCGGAGGCATCAGCTCCAGCATCATGTACGAGAAGAGCACACACCAGCCCCCCCTCCACCCTCACACCCCTCCGAAAATAAAAACCCTCTCGCTGAAAACAGTCCTTTCACCTTTACCCCAACTTCCCCTCCCAACAGCGGACAACCGTTACCAAGGCTATGCCCCAAGAACTCCCTGGATGCAGAACACGAGCCTGCCGGGCAGAGACGCTCGTACGTGCGCTCAGGGGAGGCACTGCCGCTCCTCTCTTTAGGCACATTTTCAATTTCTTTTCTCTCCCCAGTGCGCAGCCCCGGTTGGCAGCCTGTCAGGGGCAGCCCAGGAGCAGGCATGGGTAGTGTGGGAGGCTGGTGCCACAAGCGAAGCTGTCAGGACCTTTGTGGCCACAGAAACAGCCCAGCCACAGGCCCCAGGAGGCCCCGGGCCCAGACTCTTCACAACAGTTCCGCGTCCAGGCTCTCCCAGACAGAGGGCAAGCAAGCTCTTTGGCACACGTGGTTTGGCTCCTTCTCCCCGCACTCTGGCCCCAGCCTGTGCACTACTCGGACCCACTTCCCCTCTGGTGGGGTTTCCTCTGTTCCCGAGCACAGGCTGAGTCCTCTCTCTCCTCTTTATCGGAGACCAAGCCCCTCTGGAGGGGGAGGAACTGTAAACCCAGCTCCAGCTTCTCTCCTCCCAAACCCTGACCTGGCCTTCCCACACTGGGCCCGGCCCTGCAGCTGCCAGAGTGTTCCCTCCTCACACCTGCCCCGCCCAGCCTGGGGCTCCCCTCCTGCCCTCCCAGCGAAAGCCGCTGGCTCAGCACTGCCCGACCACGTGTGTAACTTCAAGTTTTCCTGTAGCCATATTATAAAGTAAAAGGAGGTGAAATTTTAATCATCTTTTATTTAACCCACTATACCACACATTTTTTCACTTTGATGTGTCATGGATGTAAACATTTACCTTCTTTGTTCTGAGAAATTCCTTGAGCACACGGTACTGAAGGCACGTGGCCATGCAGGCAGTGTTTCCAGAGCGCCACAGACACCTGGAGCGGTGGTGGGTGCTGCTCATCAGTCGGAGCCTGACCCCCACCCCGTTCATAGTGCTCACTGATGCTGCCTTTGCCAGGTCTCACCTGGATATTGCCAGCTTCTCCCCATTCCCAACCATTTGTCCTGTTACTGCTGCCTGGACACTCTGTGACAAGCTCAGACTGTGCCATCCACTCTCCTGCGCCGAGGCTCCCACTGTCTGCGCAAAAGCCATCTTCCTCCAGGGTGCCTGCCAGCTGGTCCCTACCACCTCTGTGGTCCCATCCAAAGCTGCTTCCTGTCAACTCCTCACATGCCATTCGGCTCCTCTACTCACTTCGTCTGTCCACCTCTAGCCCCACCCCCTCAGCTCCGCGCAAAGCCTACCCTCGTCCATGCGCAAGTGTGTGGCCTCTTTCTAGTGTCTCACACCTGCCGTCTGTCCCCCTGGTAGGCAGGTCAAAACAGACCTGTACCAAATTCATCACTGCCTAAAGCTCCTAAGAAAAACACAGCTTCTGGTAACTTGAAGATTTCACAACAGTTCAGGGAGTAGCTCCCCAAGCCCACCCTTGGCACTGGGCACCAGCAGAGCCAGGAGACGTGGTCAGGCCCTCAGAGGGCTCAGCATGGTGCCCACCGACAGACCGCTCATCTCCAGTTTTCTCTTCTGGAATCCCTGAGCTTTTGCACACTCTGTTTGCCTTCAATACAGGAACAGATCAAGCGACTCTGCGTACTACAGGTCTAGGGGGAGGTGCTCAAAGGCGCAGGGCCGGCGCCAGCGGCATCTTTGGTCAGCACTGGCCTGCGATGTCCTTCCCCCACCCTTGGCTGCAGAGCTCAGGCGCCTGGCTCTCCACAAAGCAGATGCTGCCTCAGAAGCTCTCCTGCATCGCAGTGCCACTGCGTTGTGCAGATGAGTGCGCCTTTGTTGCCACTGGTGCTCCTGGTACCGGCACCTTCTGTCAGAGCACAGTCTGGGAAATAGGCGGGGACGCGTAGGCGGGGGGTGCAGTTTGTGTTGGGCCCTAAAGCTAACTTTTAAGGGCAAACTAAATCTGAGAAGAAACCATACTGAGAATCTAAAGTTTTGATAAAGGAACAACTAACAAAAAAAAAGAAATAACAAAATTAGAACAGGAAATTACCTGCGGCTTTATTCTCTTCTTTGGGTGAAACAACCTGTTTCAAAAGAAAACACACGACTGTTAGCCAGGACCCTGGTGCCAGGGGAGGCTGATTAGTGGTGCTAACATCACACTGCAGAACATAGCCTCAGAGGAAAAGTCATTTGCCTTGACCTTGAAGGACAAACCTACTTCCTTTTCTTTGCCCTTTTCAAATGAGACAGAATTACTAACTTTTTTGAACAGGGAGTGCTGAGCAGTAAGAGTCCAGCTACCTTCCACACTGGCCTCATGTAACCAGTGGTGCTGATGGCAAGCATCTGTCCATGTGGCTGCCTCCTCCAGCTGGGGGGGTGGGGGGGGCCCATCTGTGCTCCGTGTGTTACTTGCAGCACCAGCAGCCCGGCTCCTACTGCTGGACAATGCAGTCACAGCAGTGACGGGCTATCATCGCACACCTGTGAGGATGGCCACGGGAGAAAGGACAAGGGACAACCAGTGCTGGCGATGCCGCAGGGGGAAGGGGCCCTGTACCCATGGGGGTGCAAGCTGGAGCTGCCACTGTGGAAAACAGTGTGGCGACGCCACAAAAAAACTAGGACTAGAAATTCCCTATGATCCAGTTATCCCACTTCCGGGAACGTGGAAATACCGACCGTGTCCATGGCAGCACTGCCCGCAGGGGTAAGGGCAGCATGGGACCAGACAAAGGTGGGGGGACACGGAAGATGTGGGCGTACACGTGGTGGATACGACCCAGCTATGAAAAGATGAAATCCTGCCAACTGCACTAACATGGACGGCCTGAGAAGGGGATTAAGCCCAGGTAGATAAGCCGGAGAAAGACAGGCCGCATGATTTCACTCATATGGAGGTTAAGAAACAAAACAAATTAACAATTAAAAAAAAGGCAATGACAAACTCTTAGACTACAAGGATGAAATAGTCGTTCCCAGCAGGAAGGGCTGCGGGGTGGGGGAGCAGATAAAAGGGGGGCCTGTATGGTGAAGGATGGGGGTGTGCTCACAGTGTAGACGGACAGATGGAGACAGAGAAACTGCACTGCAGGCTGTCACATAAACCAGTGTTACCTCAGTAAAAACAAATAATTAAGGCACGAAACGCTGAAGAGCCGGAGGGAGTGAGAGACGCCACCCCACAAGTTTTGGCAGACACAGCAACGACACCCCAGGGGGTGTGGGGCCCTCTGGGGGACAACAGTCCTCCTGCTTCCTGGAGGCACCCCTGTGATCATGTCTGTTTCCAGGTCCCGGGAACACGCAGCCAGGTGGTGAATTCAGGTATCGAGCTTTGGCCCTGGTGTCCTTTGGACCCCTGAGGAATGGGAAGGTGCCACTCACCACAGGGCGCTTGGCCTGTCGGGGGGGACTAGGCTGCGGGGATGGCTTCTTGGGTGGCTGGGCCGGCGGGGGTGGCTGTGGTGGGGCCGGCGGCTGCGCATCCTTCTGCGGGGGCTGGGGTGGGTCAGCTCCTGGAGCCGGCTGTGGCGGTGGCACTTGTGGCACTTGTGGTGTAGGCTGGAGAGATGGGGGCTGCTGCAGCTGATGGGGGGTGTGATGAGGCATCTGTTGTTTTCCTTGTGAGTAAAGATCCAGGATTTGGTGGCAGATGTCTAAATGAGAGGCAACAGTTACATTGACCGCCAATCAATATTTCAGACAAAATTTCACCCAGTAAATAAAATCAGCCCATTCCCCTGTCAGGTACAATTTCCCAAAGAGAACCAAGAGGTGGGGTCACCCTGGCAAGCCCCCAAAGCCCTACAGGGCACAGCACTGGCTCCATCTGCATGCTGCCAAAACTATGCTTGCATGGAGTGACTTAGTAGAGAGTTTCATGAAAGCAGCTTCTGCAGATGAAGCGCACGCGGCCACGCCCAGGGCGCCAGCTCCACGAGGAAGACTTTGGACCCGGAGCCCTTGGCAGAGAACTCAGAAAGCCCAGTACCTTCCAGAACGTCCACAGGGACATCTTGCACGAACTGCTCCCACCACCTCCTGTACATGGGTTTGGAGGTCCACTCTTGTATTTCAAATTTGCACAAACGTCCTGCAAGATACATCACTGCCACGGCTATGATCTCTGGCTCCCACTGTAGTGACAAGGTTGTGCAGAGGCTGGTTCAAGGAGAAAAGAAGGCGCACAGCTTGAGCACTCTGATGGAGGCCGCATGCCAGTGGGCCTTTTCTTCCCCACACACAACCAAGTAAAACTTATTTTAGGGTCTCCTAAAGGTACCACAATAAGTTACTGCAAACGCAGCTACTAATCTGTTCCTGAAAGGAACAGAGGACCCCAACACACGGGGATTGTGAGCTGGGGTCCCGTTTCATGAGCAACACCAGCAACAGCTGTTGTCTTTGCCCCACTGCACTTCTCTGCTGGTGACTGTCCCCCACTCCCAGACATTCTGGCCCCCCACCCACAGTGGCAGCTGCTTTGATCCAGGGGCGCTAAAACCGTAGAATGAAACGACTTTGAGGTATTCAGTCATAAAAATTCTCCAGCATATTATTTTGGACTCAGGTGTCAAACTGGTGATAAAACATCTGCATGTTAGAGACCCATGACTCAGCTGCAGCAGGAAACTTGGGTTTTTGCCTCCTCTGCCATGAGCCGGCCCTTTAGGCTGGGGCCTGTCAATGTCCTCGGTACAAAACAGAGTCTGCCATGAACTACCAGCAAGTCCTGCCTATTTTAAAACAATACAATGAAACCAATATCTGAATAGGTGTACCTGTCATTGACAAATGTCCATGCCATTTGAACCAACTTCTGAATTTTGTTTTTATCACCTAGAAATGGGGAAAAAAGGGCAAATTAGCAATAGGAAGGGAAAGGACTGCACAAGAAGGAACAGTGCTTATCCAAAGCCTACTGTGTGCTTGGCACCACCTCCACCCCCAGCACAGAGCTTCCTGCGGGAAATGAGGGCAGCAGCAGGCCCAAGAACTGCCTCGTCTCCTGCACTTGACCCAGGCGAGCACGGGGACGGGAAACCTGGCTCTGAGACGGATTTTATTAGGCTATTTAAAAGAGCCTGACTCATTTTCCGGCCTCATATCACTTGGCAACTGGATGACAGAATCTGTTTATACATAAAAGGAAAGGGTATTAGCAGCTCCAATACTGAATTGTTTCGGCAAGCTATGTTCTGGGTACGTGACACGCGGAAGTGTTTCTCATGTCTGAGTAGGGTCATCATATTATCGTGAGGACGTTAACAAGTTCTTTTAAGTTCTTTCCCCCTTACCTTTGAGCTGTTTTGCATACTTGAGTAGGAACTGATATGGATGTTCTACCTGTAAATCAAACTTTATAGTCTGTAGTAAGATTCTCTCCAGGACCATGACTTCTTCCTAAAAGTAAAAAAAAAAACAATGTTGGGAACAGCAATTTTATTCCTAAGTCTGAAACACCATTAAAAAAGTTAACTTTCCTATTACTTTTGCTGCTCTATTTTATTTTTATTTATTTATTTATTTAAAAAAAATATTTCTTTATACAAGCACTGGGTACAGTCAGAAGCGCGGGAGGGTGAGAGACTCCACCAGAGCCAGAGCAGGGAGCAGAGCAGGCAGAAGGACCGAAGTACACTGCTGAGGGGAGCAGCGGGTGGCAGGAGAGGTCTGTGCGCCATGTGGGACCCTCCTCCGGTGGCCGGGGAGCAGCCAGGGATTGAACCGGCGCTGCAGAGGCTGCAGGCAGCTTCACAACCCAGCGCTCAACCGCTGCACCACCGGGGAGGCCCGCTGCTCTGTTTTAGCAACTATTTTGTATTTCTATTCTCTCCCCTCTCCTGCCCTTTCTGACATGCTCAGACAGTAGAAATTTCTGAAAAATAACTAAAGTAGGAATTGAGGTGAAAAAAGATTAAACTTTGAAAGATACTGGAAACAAAATAAACAGTCTCAGAAATGTTATTACTTTCAACATATGAACCCCCCTTTACAAAACAGAGCCTTCCTTTATAGCAATGATTATTACTCCCCTTTATCAAGAAGTTTCTTGTTTCTGCATGTTTACCCCCACTTGAATTTTAATATCATTTTACTTAGTGTCATTCTAGAAAAAAAGAAAGCTATTGCTGTTCTGATTGTGAACTCAATGAATTGACAGAACAAGTTGGAGAAATGTTTTAAGGGCACTGAACTTCTAAGGACACTGAGTCCTCCTAGCAAACACTGATTAAAATCTTCTCAGTCCATCAGTAGTTTTAGGTTCCTCTCCTCCCCACCCCAACACGGCTTTTAGAACTTCCTTATAAGGGTTACCCCTGGACATTTAACTTTGCTACTGCGATCCTTCTTTCTTCCATGAACATGAACAGAGACTTCCTGACGCCACCCACCGCCCAGCCTGACTGTATATGGCACTTACAGGCAGGGTAAGAGGTAGTCAGGGTTGTGGTTATCAGGGCTCTGTGTGAGAAGAACAATGAGAGAATGACTTGCTCGCACAGAGAAGAAAGGATTTTGTAGGAGACTGAAAGGCTGATGGTCAGCAGCTGGGTAAATCCATGAACTCAATCCACTCCCCCCGAGAAGCCAGGCCAGCCCGGGCTCTCACTGAGAGTGTGGCGTTTCTTCCCAGGGCACACGGGTGGTCCCACCTGGAGACATTATTCCTAACGCTAAGGTTTTTCTAGCTGTGAGTCTCAAATGTTCTTTTCCAGGAAAACTTTCTAAAATCTTTAAAACTTGCATTCAGAATTTTTAAAAAATCCAGCTAATATCGTTTTTCTCCTGTTCTGTCACCACCTGTTTCCCAGAAGCTTCAACCTGTCTTCTAAATTTAGAAACAATCTGTCACCAAGTGTGCTGATTGGTTTCCCAGCCGCAGCCCATATAGTATTACAAGGTAGCCCAAGGCCTGCCCCCTCTTTGTGCTCCAAATATTCAATGAATGGGGTAATTACAGGTTCGTGTGCAAACAGCATTCCATGGAGGACTTTCCCTCTGCTGAGAAGCCTCGTCTGGCGGCCCTGTCTAGGGTGCTGGCTGGCTGCTCTCACTACACCTTTAAGCGGTCCCTCATAGCACTGATCACTTCATCAGCTAGCTACATGACTCTTCGATTGAAGTCTGTCACCACTCAACTGTCCAGTCCGTGAAAGTGATGGCCATGTCGTCTGTTTAACAGCCAAGTGCCTCACGCAATGACTGGAACAAACATTTGCTGAACTCATGAGGAATTAATATAATGGGGGAACAAGATGGTTCAAGCAAAGCGAATTAGGGCAAAAATGTTCTGCCTGACTCATGATCTTATTTTCCCAAACTGCTTTTATCATCTCTTTAAAAGAATTACTCTCTTCTCCTCTCTGTCCTTGCCGTTGGCCCCAGCGCAGGCCTGGGGAGGCTGTTGGGGTTGCTAAGACTGCGCACTGGCAGTCAGGGCAGATGGCCCCGGAGCCCCCAGGCGGCTAATGCCCCCCACCCCCGCTGTCTTCCGGCCCTGAGCCCCAGAGGTGCTACCCCTGGTCTGCCTGGCTCACAAAGTGGCTCGCAATGGGATTGGGGAAGTTGAAAGCGAGCGGGGACTTCTCAAAGGCAGCAGGGGATGACACGCACCAGCGGCTGCCCCCACAGGGACTGCCTCTGTGACCACAGTCTCCCCTCTGTACCATCAGACACCCTGGTCCAAACACCCTGGCGGCTACCTTACAGTCCGCGCTCAGCGACGCTTCTGTCAGCGAGGCCTGCACACAGGACAGCAGCCAACCAGCTCTGCCAAACAGCCTGGGCGTGCCAAGGGCTCGCCACCCAGGTCTGCGTGCCATCCCGGTGGCAGCTACGTGATCTTCCCCTCATCTGACGGAAGACTGGCACACAGGGACAGCCACTGTCACACATGAGGGAAGCTCTAACCTAAGGCCGCCCCTAGGAATCATGACATGAGGGCAGGAAGTTATGATTCTTACCTTTGGGTCATCTCCAAACTGGCCAAACTGCACATCATTTAATAAACTACGAGCTGTTTTGATGATATCTTTACATTTTTTTGGAGTTTCTTCCACTTTCCCAGCCAGAAAGAGACAACAGGCTCCTGTCACCTGAAGGGAGACACAAAGCTGCTGAGGTTATCGACGCTCCCCAGAACCAGAAGTGAGGGGTCTGGCGCCACGACGGACTGGTCCCCTTCCTCCTGTCTTCCTCGTTCTCATTCCCAAATGCACATATACACCCCCAAACTGGCTTCAGAAACTGTTTTAAATTTATGTCACATCAAGCAAAGTAGCTACCAGAAAGGAAAAGCGCCACAGAAAGGTGCTTTCTGGTTGCGGGGCAGTCTAAGGGCTCACAACTCTGGGGACGAGTCTCCTGCTTGTCCCGCGGGCCCCACTTCTACACCACTGCCCACACTCCTGCCCCCCATCAAGCTGCCAGGAACCAGAGCAGGATTCTACAGCACTGGAGTCTAACTGGAAAAAACAAAGTTCAAACTTGATTTTGTTTATATATATTGGATGTGCCATATAAAAGCAAACACTTTCTGGAAAATACTGTTAAGAAGAGACTACAAGTAGTCCGCCAAATGGTGTGGACATAACAACACGTGACAGAGGATGGTATCAAAATGCAAATACTTACATATCTTGGGAACTGCTTGAAGGAATGAAACATATAGAAGCGATGAAAATAAATTATTCCAGTTGCCAGGGTATCATAGTGTCTGTGGTTCTGGTTAAGGACTTTAGGCAAGAATTTTTACAGGTGATGTTCTTAGTTAAATGCAGAAAAACAATAAAGACCGATAGTACCAAGTGAGTCAGAGGTAAAGTAAACATTCTTGGGGGTACAGCAGGTGGCTGGGAATCTCGGGGTATGGGGATCCTGATACAAGGACCAGCTAGCTGCAGTCTACATTTTTACCTAGGTCAGGCTTCCCGCCTTTAACAACCTTCCCCCATGATCACGGGGGTCTCCTCCCGGTGACCACCTGCCCAATGGCTATGTCTACACATTTCGATGGCAAACAGGAAACAGAAAACCCAGAAGACTTAAGCAAATCAACAATAACTTTAAGCCACAAGGACAGGGAAGAGCCCTTTCAGTGCTGGTGTGGCTGCACACTGCCGACAGTGTCCAGCCGGCTCTCGCTGGTGGGAGGGAGCTATGCAGATTAGATTCCAGGGAGCATCAGGATACAGTCCCAAACGTGTGCCCACATCGAAGATGAAGCGAGCCCCCTCTCGGCGGTACCGGGCCTCAGTGGCTGGATCGAGTCCTTCCAGCTGCGAGGGTGTATGAGCCAGGTCTTTCTTATCCCAGTACCAACATGGTTTTGTGTGGTCCAGGTTTGCTGAAGTGACTGAAGGGCTTGAATTTTCTTTATTTTCCTTCATTTATTGAAGTAGACTTGTTCTTTCCAAAAGAGTCTCTGAAAATGCTAGAATCCTGAGAAAGGGAAGCAGCAGCAGAGTTGGGAAGGGATGACCCACATCAAACCAGCGCGGGGATCAGAAATCAGAAGCAAGCTGCAGCCCCCGGCCGGACCTGGTGTGGAATCCAGGCTTCCCGGAGCAACACGACTACACATCGTGTGTTAGATAACCCCCACCCCGACACCTCCTCACCCCACGCTCAGAGCACAAGCAGGTCCCCAATTTCACAGTGATTTAACTCCAAGAGTCTTTCTTCCTCTCCAGTCTAAGGGTTAAACCTACACAGAATTTTGAAAGAAACTGACCTCCATGTGTCTCTTTTCTTCTGCCTTTCTTCGTTAGACACAGTTCCCTCAAGCTGGTCTAGATTCTGGTTTCTCACTAAAGAAACCCCGGCCAGTTCCAAACCCCTAAGATTTATGCTCCCAAACTACCCATTTCTTCCAGCTAGTAGCCCCATCAAAATTCCCCCTTTTCAGTTTACTTAATTTCACTTGAGCACTGTCACCGAGAGAAGTCACCAGGCCGAAGGAGCGCACACCCCTTCAGTGCAGAAACTGGATGTGGGTGCGGTGCTTTGGTGGGGCGGGGGGCAAGTAGAGGGGCTGGCCCATGAGGGAAGGAGTGTCTTTAAAGTTCTCTTGCTTCCCACCCCCTTCTCTTTTGTTCAGAATAAAGAGATGCTGGAAAAGCTTCACAGTTGAGAAACGAAAACAAAAACAAGGGCTCTCGTCTGGAGGCCCTTCCTGATGCAGAGCTGTCTGTCCACTGAGTCAGAGAACAGAGCTTTCAACAGGGCAGCTGGGGGCTGTGACCAGGCGGCTGGGGCCAGGTCATTCTCGTTATTAAAAAAGAAACAGCAGTTTCACCCAGCTCTGGGGCAGCGCCCTGGGGTCCTCTGGAAGCCCAACCTGGCCTGCGTGCCCCTCCCCTGTGGTGGGAAAGGTGACACGGTGGGCTGAGAGCTCCCTCCTCCTCCCACCTGGGCGCACTGAAGGGAACCTGATCTTTCCTCCAACAGGAAGAATTAAGTCCCTGGAGAAAAACAATCTTCACGAGCTAATTTTCACTTTTGTGTGTGACTAAACTAGGCAAAGGTCAGGGCCGCATGGAGGCGAGAACAATGATGTCCTTGGGAAACAGAAAATGCTCATGATCACAAGTCGTGACGAGGTAATCATGTCTTACCTATGGGACTGACAAAAACTCCAGAAGTTTGACACATGCTGTGAGCAAAGCCAGGGAGAAGTGGGCGCTCGCACCCACTGCTGGTGGGAATACTAAATGCATATGCATTTGCTCTTTGACTCAGCGATGTGATTTCCAAGACCGCATTCTAAAGCTACCATACAAATACGAAACAATGTAGGACAAGATTATTTGCCTGCATGTTGGTATCAAAGGATATGAAATCAGAACAAGCATCCCTAGTTTTCTGAAAGTAATGAAAAGGAAAAAGGGTAGCCAGCTGCAATGGGGAAGAACAAGATAGAAAGGACACAACTGGGGACAAGACTTCTTCTGAGTTCACCTTTTCAGGTAACTTTGACTTAAAAAAAAATCAAGAAAACCTATTGTTTCTAAATAATTGCAGATTTGCAGAAGAGCTGTCAAGACAGTACAGAGAATTCTGCACACAGTCATCCTGCTTCCCCTAATGTCATCATTTGATACAACCAAGCTTCATTAAAACTGAGCCATCAATATTGATACCTCATTATCTAAATCACAGCTTGTATGTTCAGGTTTTCTGTTCCGGGATCTAATCCAGGACACTGCTCTGTATGCACCGTGTCTTATTTCTTTAGTGTCTTCTAATTTGTAACAGTTTCTTAGCCTTCTCTTGTTTTTCACGACCTTGCCAGTTTTGAAGATTATTAGGCAGATTAAAAGATCTCTTGATTTGGGTGTGTCCAATGTCTTCCCAGGGCCCGAGTGGAGCTTAGGGAAGACTGGCACAGAAGCCAACTGGCCCTTGCCAATCACCTGGCTGCAGGGGGAAGCGACAGGAGAATGGTTTCTTACTGCTAATGCCAGCCACCACTACGGGACCAGGCTGATGCCTGCCAGGCTTCCTGCTGTAAGTTTCTGTTTTCCCTTTTTACTTTCTATTCCTCAGAAGTGAGTCATGGGGTCCAGCCCACACTGGAGGGTTAGGGAATTCAGCTCTACCTCCTGGAAGAAACATCAGAGAACGTGTGGACATTTGTTAAAAATACACAGCAGCTAGTAAATATCTGAGGAGTGACCACTGCAATGTAAGGCACTGTGCAAGCGCCCATTTCTCCTTGAAGCCTTGGCCATGAGTTTTTTAGCACTCACCTGAGGATCAGCCTGCCACAATTACTACTGCCACCATTGCTATTCCAATGGTGATGTCCTCTTTTCCTCCTTCAACAATATTTGAAATTCTTTTGTAAGAAAGATTTGTTCCTACTCACCATTTATTTAATCATTTATATTAGTATGGACTACTGATACTTATTTTATTCTTTGAGTCATAACACACATGATATATTTATTTTGTTGCTCCAATTATCCCAGCTATAGCTATTGAGAGTAGTGCTTCCAGAATGGTTCCTGGGTCCTTATGTAATGTGATTTTTTAATTATATAGCTAACATATTCATGGACTTAGCTAAGTAGATAAGCAAATCCTAAAACTCAAAATGAACCCAGCATACACCAAGCAGGAAACTGGGCCACACAGAAAGAACGACCAAGTAATTTCTGATCTGAGGGAGATATATATTCTTAGGACAAAAAGAACTGCAAAGAAATCTTAAACTTCTACTATAATGCACTGTTAGTAGGAGCACTAAAATGATAATTATCAACCACTTCTTGTGCACTGCAGGATAAAGCAAATATGTAAATGCAAATATTGTTAGGAATCCAGATTTTCAATGCAAAGAAAACAAGCACAAATTCAAAAGTTAAGGAAAAACCCATAATGTTAACTTTCAATTGAAAATATCAAAATAAACCATGGTTAGAAACATACACACACGCAGCCCTGCTCTGTCTCCAGGGCGGGAAGTGCCACACTCCTAGGACTGGACACGCCCAGTCTTCAAGACCAGGTCCCCCCTGGTGCTGGGGCTTGCCAGGGACAGGCTTCGGTTAATGGAAGCCTATCGCTGACTTAGCAGCCAGCACGGCCAATTCAGGGGATTGTCCCACTGGACCATTCAAGGAATCTTTGAGTATTAAAAAGAAAAATGACTATGATTGATTGTAAAAGAGTGACTAGAAGTCCACGCATCCATAACAACATACAGATGTGTGTAAAAAGCACATTATGCACAGAAAATCTACTTTGTTAGTACTGGTAATAATTACCGTGAAAAAAGTACCTTTACTTTCACAAAAATGACCAAACTTGGCACCACTAATAGGGTGAAAACCCGCTGTTATGTGCCTCCTGATGTGATGCAGTATGAAATAAATATCACTACCTACGTAGGCTACTTGGCCCCCAAAAGCTTAACTGGAACAAGTCTGAGTTCCAGTCCATAGTAAAAACTGCGGGCAAAACAGAGGGAAAGCTCAGCGCATAAGAAAGCTGTCAGTCACATGCAGGAAGTACGACACCCCGCAGAACAACTGTCCTGGTCTCTTCAGAAAACTCAGTGTCATCAACATACAAAGAGATGGGAGAGCTCGTAGGGTTGAAGAGACTGAAGAGGCGCAACGCGTGACACTGCGCGACCGCATCCTACGCTTTGTTTTTGAAAGAAGCTATAAAAAATATTTTGAGCATTTAGAGAAATTTTAATATAGACTTTATATAAGATGGCATTAGGGAATTGCTGTCAGTTTTTTTAGGGGCAATGAGGATACTGTGATGACACAGAACAAATTTATTCTTAGGCCGAAGTACTAGGGTAAAATGTCATGAAATCTGCAACTTACTTTCAACTGGCTTGGCTAGAGCCCACACTCACACCGGAAAGGCGGCAAAATGTCAGCGCGTGTCCAGTCTAGGCCATAGGTAAACAAGCAGTCACTGTACTCTTCTTCCACTGAATAAAAAGTTTGGGGAAACAATCACATAAGATACTTAAGAGAAGAGGACTCCTGCACCCCTCCCCCATCAGACTCTCTCGGTAGCCCAGGAATACTTGCTTACATCTGTGTTTTATACATGAAAACAAATTTTAATTGCATTAGCGCATACAAAAAGCCCACTGATTTTAAGTGCATGGTGTAATAATTTTCAAGTGGATACACCATGAAGTCAACTCCGCCTGGGAAGCAGGTAAACAATGCCCCAGAAGTTCTCCTCACCCCTCTCCTGATCACTATCCCCGGAACCATAACCACCCTCCTGACCTCTCTCCCCATCAACTGCTCTCCCCTACTTCTGAAGGCCTGAGGAATGATCAGTCTTACAACTGGTCCCTTTTGCTCAATACCATGCTAGTGGGATACCTCTCTGGTGTCTGAAGCAGTCGTCATTCCTTCTCGTTACTGTGAAGCTGTGTTTTCCATCAGAAGTGAATTTCCCTATTATGGGGACATTTAGCAATGTCTGGAGACATTTTTGGCTGTCATAATTGGAGGTCTGCTTCTGGCTTCTAATGATTAGAGGCCAGGAATGTTGCTGAACATTCTATAATGCACAGAACTCCCTATGACAAGGACCTAACTGCTTCAAAATACCAATACCACTGATGCTGAGAATCCCTGCTGTATAAAATTCCATTCCATGACTATGGCACAATCTATTTCTCCATTTTACTGTGGGCAGACTTTCAAAATGTTTCTGGTTTTTTATGTTTAATAATAGTAACAAACACCCATGTACGTCCTTGTAGTAGGCAACATCTCAGCACATCCGTAACCTATGCATGTTATAACAGTCGGGAATCTCTAAGCTATATTAACAGTTCTCCACGTTCATCCAATATTTATTGAGCATTTACTATAAGCTAGGCCTCAGTGACACAGCAGGGACAAGACAGATGAGGTCTGCTGCACCTCCCCCTGCAAGGTCTTTGCCCCCCCAGAAGCTTACATTCTCATGGCAGAGACAAAGAGGAATAAGTGAGTTAATGTTTGTCAGGGAGTAGTTAAGTACCTTGAAGAGTAACACAGCATGGTAAGGGAGAGAAAGGGACGAGGTAGGGACTTCTGGAGATTTGCGGAGGGAAGATCAGTTGGGAGACTACAGTAGAAGAGGCAGAAAGAGGAAAAAGAGTAGTGGGGGGCGGGGGGCATCATAACTGACCACCGGCCAAGAATGGCAAGGGATGACATCGGGTTTGCTGACTAACACAGAAGGGTGTTACCAAAAAGAAAAATGGGAAAGGGAGGGTGGAGATGAAAAGAAGAACCTCTGAGGCAAAAGGGAAAGAAAAGCTTGAGGAAGATATTTAAAAAGCCATTGGTGTGGAGGAGATAAATCATGAGGATATCTCCATCTTGCCTGGGAAGCAGAGCGTGAAGACGTCTGCTGAGGGGAAAGGGTTAGGAATCACCCACAGAGATGGAGTAAGGGCGGGAAAGGATCAGTCCACAGAGAATGAGTCATAAACGTATCCAGACCTATTTTTCCCATCAGCAACTGGCCAAACCCTGTGCTAATAATCTCGTGTAGGTCCCTTAGACAGCAGGATAGAAAGACAATAAATGAAAGAGAGTGAAAACAATGTGCATAAATAGAACAGAAACAGTCCTCAAAATCATTCATCTCCCTGATAATCTTCTTGCTTCAGTTCTATAATCCTGTTTCCTATTACTCTTCAATTATCTTTTCATAAGACCCTCAAATTATAAATTTTCTCATTAGCAGCTTATGATTACTGCAAAAATGAGCGAGAGATTTATACCTTCCACAAAATAAAACTCTCCATAAACAAACTGAATGTCAAGGCATTTTAGCAATTCTTCAGGAATGTGCTTTAGCCATGTCATTTTACATGATGAAAGATTAAAAGTAATTTTTGGCATTTAGAATTATGGACGCTTATAAGTCGGAAACAACAAAGGTCCCTACTCAGCTTTCTGGTGTAGCACTGAAGTCCTCCTGAACAACACAGCGTGTGCTCGCTCACTCACCTCCACTTTCATTGGAGAGACCCTAATGTTGCAAAGCAGCCTGTGGTGTTGCTAGGTGTCAATCTTCATGTTACTTCTTGTTTTAACGTTACAGAATAGATAATGTCACAGATAGATAATATCTGTTCTGTTCATTAACAGGTGTTCTGTCCATACCCTGGATTTGGTACACAGATGGCACAGAATAATGAATGAATAAAATCTACTTTCAACCCATCTCTCTAGTTCCCATCTAGCTCCCCTAAGCCTTAAAAATAGATACCTTTCCCTTATCTATAATTGCCGTTCCGATCTGTGAAGGTAACTTTTATATTCCTTTCTTCTCCAGGGTAAAGAAACATCCACAATTTCTCAATGTGGTTTTTAGTGTTTCAAGACTCCCTTAAATACTAGCAGTCAAAATGGAAAACAATATTCTCTATGACCTGCGTAGCGCATGGGAGGAGGAAGTTATTCAGCACAGTAGGTGATACTGTTCTGAATGCTGCCTGTTCAGTAACATCTCCATTGTGTGCCCACTGAGCTGCAGCAGGCCTGCAAGCTATGTTTTGTGGCCTCACAATTCATCACTGAGAACATGGAGCAAGAGACATGAAGCAAATTGCTAAATTCAGAGAGCTGTCAATGGCAGAGCCAGTTTGTCATTGGACTAAGATACTGCCTTCCCTCATTCTGGTCATCATTTCAGTTTTATAAGGAGAAAATGATATCCTAAAACCACTTTTGTAAGGTCAGATCTTTCATCTCAAACACACATTGGTAAATTTTTGTTAACGTAATTACTCTTGGCGAATCTACACCTTGTTAGTTTCAGCCTACTACTTCCACCTTTTAGAATCCTGAGTGTCCACTAAAGGTTTTGAGAGCACTCATTAATTTGAGAAACATGTCTCCTGTATATTTAAAATTGGCAGTAAAAAACTGCTTAACAGAGTTGTCAGGGCGAGACTAGAGCCCTGTGGCTTACCTCCAAAGACCTCTCTTCAGACTGACATCAACTCATCAACAAACATTTTTAATTTGGTAATTTGAATGAATATAAATCACCTAATTGGACGTTCTCCAGAATCCATTTATCTCATGTCTACTAGGAGAGGAAGAGAGATAGGAAACCTGAATGGCCTCATGTCCAGTAATTCCTCATCCCTCACCAGTCTGGTAACTTAAAATGTACAACATGACTCGTCACGTGATTTTTTAAAAATGAAGTGCTATCGGTTTTAGCAAAATACACATTCCAGTCTTCACTTTAATTGCACTTTTAGGATCCCTCAAAAGCTACAATAAGTTTATAATCATATCTGATCTATAACTTATCTGAGCCTTAAAAACATGAATTAGAGTAAACCCAATTAGACTTTTTTTTTAAAAAAGATTTATCTATTTATGCATACAAGAACTGGGGTACAGGCCAGAGGTGTGGGGAGGTGAGAGGGAGGATTCACCAGAGACAGAGCAGGGAACAGAACAGGCAGACTGACTGAAACACACTGCTGAGGGGAGCAGTGGGTGAGACAGGAGAGGTCTGCTGCGCCATGTGGGCAGCCCCCTGGCTGGGGATCGAACACGTGCTGCAGTAGCTGTGGATAGCTTCATGTTTTCTCTTAACCCCTTGTGCCACTGTTAGGGGGAAAAGGATGTCCCAAAGCAAATTCCATATAGGCTTTGTGGACTCCACCCCCACCCCAGGTCAAAGCCAAAGACACTGGGAACTCCAAATCCCATCACCACCAAAGGGAAGGTGGGTGGGACCTGAGGGTGGGGTTAAGCAGCCAGATGGATACAAAAGGCAGACACGTGGGCTTTGGGGATCCCCCATTTTTGGCTCTCCGCCAGCTCGCAGCGTCCCCCCAGCTCTGAGAGTGACTTTGGATTTCCAGGTCGTCGGATCGGGTAGGACACATTAAAGACTTTATTTCCTTATTTTCTCCCTGAGTTGTACATTTTCCTTATTTCTTTTTCTCTTGTAAATAAACCTTTTATTAACCCTTTTGTGTGTGTGTCTGTAGTAGAGTATCCATAAGTCCCTTTAAAGCGCGCGGGTGAGGACCCACAGCCAGGAACCCGTTTAATATCCGGATTGCTCTATAACACCACCAGGGAGGCCCCTCAATTAGACTTTTTTTTAAATAATCTCAATTACCTGTAACTTAATCCCTCTTGATTTTGTTTGTCCTTACCAAATGTTAGAGAAAACAAACAGAAAACGTTTTTCTTCCTTCTATAAACTCATTGCTTCCATTATCTCCTGAAATGAACGAGTTCATTTAGTAGGTCAAAACTATGACCAATTTTTTTCTTTATGATACTCAGTTTTAAAAATGCCACTTAAAATGTAAGGTTTCATTAACCATTGGAATGTTTCTTGATTGCTCATTGGTGCAAATTATGTTTTTGAAATGGAACAGTGAACATGCTTTACACAAATACCAATTAATATATCTGAATAAGGTACGGCCATCTAATCAAAATGAAACAAAAGGAAAAAATTCTTAAAAATAGACACCTCTGGTAGCCACTTCGAAAAAAGAAAACTGAACAATCCTAATCATTATTTTTATAGTCAAGTTTACTTAACAGACAAGCATCCAAAGAACAGCAACGATCTATTCAAAATGTCTCTCAATACCACTGATAGAGAGTACCGCCATCCACTCATTCTTCACTCGGCAAAACGGAGAGCTTACTACATAGGTGCTGGGGATGCTCCTGAAAGTTCATTCTAGCAACATCATTCATACAAAGCTTCAAGGAGCGTCTACAATCGCAAGGCACTGTGCTGGCTATCTCTAAAGCGCGATTTAGAACGGGATACACAAATATTAAGTTTATCTAAAATAATAAAAGGCTACCCCCCAAGCAACCGACTTGATTAATCGGCCCTAAAGCCCCATGATTCAGCGAGAGCTCTGCTTAAATGGCAACCCAAATTTAGGAAGCGTTACCGACCATGCTTTGTGCCGATAAGAGACTAAGCGCTCACAGTTAACTTTCTGTAGAACGAGGCCCCTATTAATAAGCCAAATCAAACCAAACCACCGAGGGGAGAGGCGGGTAAGGCGCACGGGCAAGAACGAATCTAACCGCGGAAGTGCCTTTCCCTCCTTCCGAGTCTCATCCTTGGTTCTTCAGACTCCAAGGTCGGAGTGCCCAAGATGGGGAACAGCCCCCCAGCCTCGGGCCTAACCAAGGCTGAGATGGACACACTCACAAGTAATTAGGAAGATGTGGGTAGTCTGCGGCTGAGCGAGTGAGCGCCCAGGACCCCTGCCCCTTCTCTCCACCTGCTGGAAAAGTCCTCGAGCCCGAGCCGCCCCTCAGTGTGAGGGCTGCTGCCAGTTCTCGGGGCTTCGCCGGCTTTCCAGCTCCGCCCCTGCGCGGCAGACCCTCTCCCGCAGCCCGTCCCGCAGCCCCGCCGTCGCCCGCTAACTTCGATCGGCACCGGGGGATTGCGGAGGGAGGCGGAATCCGGGAAGAAACTGCGTCGGCGGAGGGCGGCAGTTGGCCGCACCCCACTCCGACCAGCAGGGACGCGGGAGGCGAGCCGCGCAGCCCGCGGTCGGCCGGTCACTCACCCCTCGCCTCAGGCAAGCCCCTTAGCGACGTCTCTCCTTGCTGACTGCGGCCATCTTGGACGGGGGAAGTCGGGGAGCTACGTCATCGCGCTGCGTCCGCGACGGAAAACAAGCGACGGGGGACGACTATCAACCAATCAGAAGAAAGCAGAGCTCTCCAACGAGGAAGGAGCCGCCGGTCTCCTCCCCGGCCCTCCCCTCGGGTCAGTCGCTGCCGCGGCCAGGAGGGGGAGGAGCCGACGAGAGGGCCCAACCCGTCGGTCCCGCCTCCTGGGGCCGGAGGGAACGCGGGAGCAACCGAACCTGCTAACGGAACTGGGGCGGGGGGCGGGGCCGGGGCGCGCGTTGTCCAATCAGCGCCTCGGTGTGGGCGCAACCCAGCCAATAGCGGCCCCGAGGCGGGCGGGGGCCGAGCCGGCCGTTCTGCCCCGGCCGCAGGCCCAATGGCCGGGGCGCCGGCGCGCGGCGCGGGGGCGGGGCGGAGGGGGTGGGGCCGCGCCGTGCGCCGGCGCCGCGGGCCAATGGGCGGCGGCGGCGGCGGCCGGGCGGGGCCGGGGTGGGCCGCGGCGGCGGGGCCGTCTCAGGCTGCGGCCCCGCCCCTCCCGTCCGGCCGCCGCCGCCGCCGCCGCCCGGGGCTTGGTTGAGGCGGACGGAGGGGCCCGGCCGAGTGTGGCGCCGCCGCCGCGCTGCCGCCGCCGCCGCGCGAGGGGCCAGCGGGCAGGTGAGTGCCGCGGGGTCTCCGCGCGCGGCCCGCGGCCCGGCTCGTGCCGCCGCCCCCGCCGGGCCGGCGCCCTCGGCCGCGTCTGGCCCGCGCCGGCCGCCGCGGAGGGCCTGGGGGCGGCGGGGCGCGGGCGCCGCTCGGCCTCCGCTCGGCCTCCGCTCGGCCTCCGCGCCCTCGCCCGCCCGGCCGGCCGGGGCGCCCGCAGCGCCCGCGGTCATCCGGCGCCGCCGCCCGCGCGCCCGCCCGGAGGGGCGGCAGGTGCCGCCGCCCGCCCGCCTCGCGCCTCCCCCCGCCCGCGGGCGCCCGGCCGGGCCGGCGGGGTCGGCGCTCGCCCTCCGCGCACACCCGCCGGGCGCGCCGCGAGCGCCGCGGAAAACAGGTCCCCGCCCGCCCGCCCCGGCCTGCGGGCCGCGATCCCGCCGCGGCCGCCCGGGCAGAGCCGCGCCCGGGCCGCGGGGGGCGGGCGGGTCCGGCGCGGGCCTGGCCTCCGCCGCGGGCCCCGCGCGGGCTCCGCCTCGGGCTCGGGCGGCCTCCTCGGGGCGGGAGCTGCGGGCGGGCCCCGCGCTGTCGCCTGCCCGCGGGCCCGGCTGCTGGGCCGCGCCGGGGTGCGCTGGGGCGACGGCGCTGCCCGCGGACCCGCTTCTGGGCTGGATTTTTTTAAAGCTGAAAGTAAACGATGCCGCCGCGCTCGGGTCTCCGGCGCAGGCGTGGCCCGCTGGCCTGGCCGGAGGGAGCCGCCCGCCGGCGTCTGCGGGAGGCTTGTCTCCCGGCGCGGGGATGGATGCCCCTAACTCAGGATCGCGCGGCGAGAGAGCGGGTTCCGCTCCGCCTGAAGTTCGGCGCGCCTGGACGGGCTTCCGCGCGGCGGGTCGCGTTGGTGCCGCCTGCTGCGCTCCGGGCCGCCTTCCCCGATTAGGCCCCGGGGCTGCTCTGGTTGATGTGTTGGTGAAGTTCCTGCGTTTCTGGAGGCGTGTTTCTCTGGCTGGGCAAAATAGTTCGCAAACTCGAGTGCTCAGGAAAACTGCAGAACAACCTCTTCATTGCGGCTCACAAACAAGCTCCGGGGTTGGCCCGCTGCTTCTGCCCCTTCGTGCCTTGCCTGCCACCTTCCTCTCCCCGCCCCCCGCTTCAAAATTGGAAGTGAGTATCTGAAATGGAACACTAATCTGAACCAAGAAAATGGTTCCTGCTTCTCTTTCCCATTATGCCAACATCTCTCAGCGCTTCTTATCTATCATGGGGATGGTGGTTGCCCTGAAGACGAAAACATTGCTGCTACCTGTGCGTGCAATAGAATTGACAGTTTCTGTTCATTCCTCTTGGTATGAGTGCAGTAAGGTTGTTGATAATAAATTCACACTTCCTGAGCTGCTCTTCTGAGTCTTGAACGTTAGGCCATCTTTAAAAGATGATTGAACCTTTATTCTGGAAGCCTCTGGAAAATGAGAAAATGTGAAGCTTGTACTCAAGTATTTTTCCATTTTCAAGTTTAGCCACTGGAAACCCTTTTTTTTTTTTTTTTTTTGAGATCTCTGATAAACAGTAACAACAGTCTTCTTAAAATGATGCTCGTCTCATATCTAGACGAGAATGACAAGGGAGATGACAGCTGGAGGGAAGTATCAGTGGTTGCACAACAGGCTCGTAGTAAACATTTCTTGGATAATTACTGGCACAGTGAAAACCAGGTGCGTGGTTTGTGCTGCATGGAATTTTAGTAAAAATACCAGGGAAAATCTTACTCTCAGCTCAGGGTTGTTCTGGAAGCTTTACTAATGTGTGTGTTGGTATGATGCTTTCCCAGTCTCTTTAGATGTCTGAATAACATAGTCTCCTTTTTACTTATCACCCATCTGAAGTAGCTTTTGGAAATGTAACTAATGATACTGTATCTTTTTCTGGAGTCTGATGATTATCTTTTCTGGGAGGCCTTTTCTCCCTAGAAGCTGGTTGGCCTGTGCAGGGTGTGCAGCCTGGCGCTTTTGTTGGGAGGGGCGGGGAGTTTCGAGTGTTCCTCTCCTACCTGAGTGGTGGCACTGGAGCCAGGACTGCCCCCCATGGGCGAGTGGAAGTCATTTTTCACTCCAGTGTTAAACAGGTTTGTTGTGTAGCTGTAGCTTGTATTCCTTTGGAGGCCAGTTGAGACCAGTTGTTTTCTCAATTAGCTAGCATTGTATTCAGGCAGATTGTCTTAATGACTGGAGACTATTTTGTTGCTCTGTGTATCCTTTCTCTCTCTATAGGTCAGGAAGTATCTCCCCTGGGTATCAGTTCATTCTAAGTCATATTTACCATTGCCAACTAGTAGTCTAAGGATTTGCTGCTTTGGAATTTTTCTAGTTTTCACTTTTGTAGCATCTACAGGCACACCTTACTTGGCAAAATTGATTTCTGCTCATTGGATTTCCTTGTGTCATCTTCTTTTCCTAGTCCTAACTTTGGAGATGTTATTTTCATCTACAAGTGTAACTTACTTATATAATGTTTATTCTCAAAGTAAAAATACATTTTAGTAATAGAGCATGAATTCTCATGATATGTTGTACTATTAAAAGGAGTCAAGGCTTTTTTTTTTTTTTTTTTAAGTTACCCAATAGTCTCACGGAAAGAAAAAACTCGATTAACTCGATTAGCAGAATTGGCAAGATTAGAATTTCTGGGTTTTGTTGTTAAATTCAGCCAGTAACTCAAGCCAGAGATTATTTGTGTAGACTCAGTTTCCACTTGGGAGTTGCCTCTAGATTTTGGGAATAAACAGATCATAAAAGGAGGGGGCCAAACACAGGTATTGAAAATTCCCAACTGAAATAAATTTGAAAGGAAGGCAGATGATTCCAAAAGATGATGAAATTCACATATCAAAGAAAAGACTTTGAAATTCTTTCTTACTCAAGTACTTTCCAAATAGAAGTTAATTAATAATCAAAGCAAGTCCAAACACCCTTGGCTGACAAGGAAAGACAAGTCCTGACTCCCGAGGTAAGATTTGCAAGGGACTGAAGTGATCCTGAACACACAGTAGCACTTTAGCCGCTTCATGCCCAGCCTTAGTCATGGGCAGCAGGGGGCGAGGGCTGGAAGGAGTGCTCGCCCAGGTCTGCACAAGGGCTACAGAGTGGTCCAGGGAATGCAAGTCATCGGGTGGCTCCCTAGAACTTTTCATGCCACGTTTTAGATTCTTACCTACCTGTGATTCCGAGTGTCCCTTTCTATTTTTACAGGATGTAGCTCTTTAGAATATACCAGGGCCAAAAAAATTCTCCTGGCTATGTGGTTTAGAGGTTTTAATACTAGACAATAGGCACGGCTCTTCGATATGCGTAGACTTCTGTTAAGCACAGTTGAAAGTAAAGATGAACATTGAAAGACACATTAAAGTTGCTTTCACCAAAACATATTTACTGATGACCAATAAGGTTTTCTTGTGTGGCCTGTAGTGCTTTACTATTGCTACAGCGATAGCTGTCATGGCCACCTATGTAGTTTCTGCAGTGTTTGGATCCATGACAAAATCGAGGGGGCCTCTTGTATGTTTTGATAAGGCCAGCAAAATGGATATAGACTTTTAAAAGACCAAAGAGAGAAAACATTGTATGTTACTATTCTAAGGAATACTATGGTTTTGAACTTGAGAGAGAACATGGAACCTTCAGAACCTTTGGGAATGGGTTGGTTTTGCATTGAATCCAGGAAATATCGAGAGTATTGAGAATCGTAGCTGGTGAGGCCCCAATCTCTGTAACCTTCAGTTTGTCATCTATAAAGTGGGCCTGACAATACTTGCCTTTAGGGTATAAAATGCTTACCTTAGTTCCTGGTATAGGAAAGCCCAGATGACACAGTTGTGATGGAGAATCTTGCTGCGGACCTGCCACAGGAGGCTGGCAGGATAATATCGTTTCAACAGCCTAGAAAAAAATGTAGCATGTAGCACAGTCATTTGCATTTAGGTGCGGCAGAGGCATTGGGTTCAGTATCGCCCATGAGAAGTTTTTATCCTAAGGCTGTGCATGGGGCCACCTGTCCCTCATCTTTGCCCTCAGTCCAAGAAATGGGCACTGAGCAAAGGCATGAATTCACGTGTTCCTCAGCTCATGGGCAAACTAGGGCAGCCTTTGGGATGCTAGGGAAATGCCCTGTGTTGAGACCCAGGAGGAGATCCAGGCAGGCAGCGCTCCCTTGAACCTTGGCCTCCTGGCGCACATTTGGAGGGTTTTATTAATGACACAGAAGTACATTTTACCTGAAGGGAATGCGTTCATCTGATGGAGAAGCCGGCGGTGAGGGCCTAGCTGAGCCTGGAGAGGCCTGGGGGTGGGTTAGGTGTGGGGCTATTTCTCCTTAGAAGGAAGTGGTGGGGCCGGGCAGGGAGGAGGAGGGCCTGCAGTGTGGATCCCAGAGCTGGCAGCTGGTGGCCAGCAGGGTGGTGCTGGCACCCAGGCCTCTGCCTTAGGTCCCTGCCCTGTGCCCATCAGAGGCAGCAAACCTCCCGGGGTGGCACGCTCCTGCCTGGCTGCTTCACGGGGTCCGCAGCCTTGGCTTTGGCAGGGGATAGCAAGGCACGTTGACCGCATCACTGCTCCGTAACGTGACTTTCAACCTGTTCAAAGTGGAGAATTAACCCAGGCGACCCCAAAGGTCTCTCTCAATGCTGACATGGCCCAATTCTAGAATTCAGAACCCTTACATGAGGAATGTGGGTGGTCTGAAGGTAATTTCTCGACAGATTACAGCTGTTCCTTCACACGTAACATTTTTCTTTTAGGAAGATATAATAGGAAATGATTATTCATGGCACCAAATGATTCTTTGGTTTATGAAAGTTTTTTTTTTTTTCAACTTTCTTTAAATAGGAGCCTCATTTTCATGTAAGTGTATTTACAACATAATTCAACCACAGTTTAAAGCTGAAACTATTATGTATTTGGAAAGTCAATCAGAAATGGTATAAGCATCTCTAAAATGATCATGTAAATTAGTGGGAAAATAGCAAAAATAGTGTTGAAAGCTAGAAATGTATATTTTTAAAAATTTAATGTATAAATACACACACGTATGTATATACATACACACATGCATACATACACATATAACAGCCCAAATTGTTCTGTGTGGAGATTGAGGTTTTCCTGGCATGCAGCCGATAGGTCTACATGCCTATGAAGTAAGTGGGAATGCCTGCCTGTTTGCTTTGACTTCTTGGTACTGTTTGAGTTGTGGCATAGCGACACCTTCTTTGATTCGCGATTGGAATGGGGGGGTCGCTAGTTAGCCGCTCCGACTGTATCAGTCGGTGTGGCCTCACCCCGCTAGCAGTGGTGCCCTGGGCCCTTCCCAAACACACTCGTCCGGTTAACACGGAGCCGTGCGGAGAGCGCCTGCCTGTGCTGCATCAGGTTCCCTAGGAGAGAAAACATCACACAGTTAAATCGTTTTCCTTTTCGGATCCCATCATCCTATAATTTGTGTATTTAATGCAGAATGTAGTAATTGGATCCTAGTGGCCTGCAAAGCATGCCAGTGAGCTTGAGAAGGCGTGCTTTTATTCTGCTACACAAAGATTAGGCAGGCTGTCTCACCGCCTGCAGGTCCCTTTACAGCTGGGTGCCGAGGGAGGAGGAAACCACAGGCCCTTCTCTCCTTTCTCCAGTCCAGCTGTGAAGTGGGGGAAATGCAGGCAACATTGAAAAGCAGATGCTGGGTTTTGAGCTAAGGTTTTCAAGATAAACTGCCAAATGAGGGTAATCAAAAATGTTTATTCTAGTTGTATTTAGTTGAAAGCAACCCAGGAAAAATACAAATACACATCTTTTCCATTTGGAATTTTTGAGGGGGAAAAGCCCCATGCAGCTGAGTTCCAGCTCTGTGAAAAAGGGCCAAGTATCCAGTGCCTTCCCTTATCTCCCCTCTCCACCCATCAGCCACAGTCCCTAGGTGTGGTTTATCTTATTTTTCCTTATCTCCTTACTTTATTCCACTGTGCAGATGATATACATATATGTCAGGAATCACTCGATTAGCCAAAACTCATTGTTGATTACATGTTAACTGATTGCACAGTAGTTGGCAGTTTAAATAATAATTGAGGATACCTTTTATTTCACTATCTTTGAAATCCTGTTTTATCTTTGTAGGTGGGGAGGTTGTTTTGATGTACCTGATAAATAGTTTGTGGTATTTTTAAAGAGCCAGATTTTGAGCATTCTATAGATTTTCAAAATATCTTGATGGCGAAGAAACGTAGATATGTGTGCGGCTCTTCCTGCTGTTCCTTTGAATAACTAGCAGTAGTAGTTGGTAGGATCCATTTGCCTGTCAGTCCTGTATTGCCTTTCTTTTCTTTTTTTCTGTCTTAAGTAAAAAAGGGGCTGAATCCTTTTTTTCCATGTACTTTTGTTTCTCCCAACATAATTCAATAAGCATTTGTAAAAAGATTTCAAGCTCAACTTTTGAGAGGAAAATCGTTCATTGAGCATTTTGTCTTCTGGTTAATATTTGGAAGTTAGCGTGAGTATGTGCGTGTATCTGCACATTTTTAACTTAACGCATCTTTATGTTTTTCTAATACTGATGTTTGGAATAAATATCCAAGGTAGGTCTTTGGTCTTTGTAGGACCTTGATGAATTTCAGGGAGGCCATTCCCACTGCTGCATCACGCATGCTCAGGGGCCTGCTTGGCTGTGTCCCCTACGTTGGAATCTCGCTGCAGATGCTGCTGGCATCACAGTTAAAATTGCTCATGGTGTATGACAAAGTTTTGAGTGATGAATGCAAAGGGTAGGTCATTCTTTCAAATCCATGATATTGGTGATCTCTTTTCTAGCTTAAAAAAAGGCAGAAGGGGTTGAATTTAGGAAACCACTCATACTAGATCCTACCACTTTCTCAAACAGAATCTTAAAGTTTTGTCATCCCTGTTTAATTTTTTGTTATTCCCTGCCCCTCTCTCTTTTCTCACTTATTTCAGGGGTAGCCCGTACTGTGTGTCTTTGCTCCCCTCACATTCACCCCTGAGGACCACAAACCTGTTGTGTTGTCTCCTGTGGCAGCTAGCAGTGCCCTGGGCAGGCTTGTGGAATGGAGCGCACCCATGTTTAGGGTCTGCCCGTGTGCTGGAAATAATACAGGCTTTCAGGTTGGAAGCCTAGTCAGCTGCTGGTGCAGTGGGCACTTGGCCAAGTCAAAGCCTCCTGACCTCAGGCTGTGGTCTCTGCTGGCCTCTGTGGGCATGGCTTCCAAGGGTGTGGCCCTGTGGGCGTGGTCTCTGGCCTGTGACTGGAAGCCGGAAAGTCTTGGGCTGGACATGTGTAGCTGACCAGTGCTGAGGCAGGTCCACCATGGAGCCTCAAGCTGTGCTTGGGGAACCTCCTTTTCCACTAGAAGTGGACTTAGTCTTGCTTTGTTGCTTCCTTTAAAAATTCAGGTTTGTGTTTGTCAGAGTTTCTCTATGAAATTTATATCCTAAAGCTTTTTGAGCAGTTAACTATGGATTCCCAAAAGAAATCATCTTTTAAGTGAATTTTACATATTTTATATGGACGTGTTGTTCAGTAGAAATTAATGGTAACTGTTTCATTTGACTACTGTTCTATTCCCTGGTGGGAGAATAGATCAAAATGCTTTCTTGCCACCAAAACCTTACTTTCCTCACGGGAAGTAAATCTTACCCACAAGTAACACAAATATATAAAAACAACATCTAAAGATCTTTCTTCATTCAACAAATGGTGTGCGACTGTCTGCAGCCCTGTACCAGGCCCCCAGATGGCACGGAGGTGGAAGCTTTGATTACTTTCTGCCAGGAGATTGTGGGTGAAACAGGCACATGGATGATGTGAACTGGGGGGGGGGGGGGGAGGGAGGGAAATGAGGCTCCAGAGTGGGGCTCTGAAGTGAGGGGCGTGGACTGTCACTGTCAGTGTGTGGGTGCAAGCAGGACACTTGCCACCAAGGGGCAAAGACTCATGGACCACGGTAATGGAGGAAGAGCCCGGCCCAGGGGCTGTGGAAGGCAGAGTAGGGAGCATGCCGGTGGTGACTCTTTGTGGGGTAAACAGAGGTAAATGCAGGCTACTGCCTTGCAGGGACTTTCTGTTAGGGGTGTCCCACAAATCCTGGGAGAATTGGTGCAAACCATCTCAAATCCAGAGGCAAGAGAATCGTAACACGTTAATGGCTGTGCAAGTTCGGAGAGCTCTGCCGGGCTATAGACCCAGGTCCAGGGAACCCAGCCCTCCCTGAACCTGAGTGCTTAAGTAAACTCAGGTTTACTGTGACTGAGGCAGCCGTTGACTGCTTTGGAGAGTGGGTATAGGGAGCTCTGGACAGAACCCAGCCTGCGAAGCTTCCCAGAAGAGCTCGCTATCAGTCCTGTTTCTCCATGGGACAGATTCAGAGCTGGCCTGGACCTGGGCTCCCTTACCCCAGGGGGGGCAATCAATCACCGGGGAGCGGCCAGCCCCTCCCCCTCCTGAATTAGGATGAAGTGAGTTAAGGCCTACTGGAAGATTCCCACTGCCTCACCTGGGCCCGCTGCCTTCTCTCCCGTGGGAACTGCATCCCTGTAAAGGGAAACTGCCCAAAGAGAATTCCAGAAGACTGAATCGCAAAGAAGCGTCAGATAATCACCTTGAACCTGATTGATTCTTACGGATGTCCCTGAGAGTGAGGGCTGCCTGGAGGTGGCCAGGAGTTCATCAAGGCCTTTTGGGACCAAGGGGTAGCATGGGGTCTCTTCATTACCAAAAAAGGGGAGAACTTGAGCAAACCACTGGGGCTGAGTTGTACCAGGGGGTGATGCGCAGAATGACGCTGGACAGGGGTGAGGCAGTGAAGGGCCTGAGGGGCTTTGTTGGGGAGGTTGAGGGTCACCCCACCTGCTATGGAAAGGAGGAGAGTGGAGCAGAAGGAGCAGAGGCAGCGCCTGATTCCATTTGTCTGCAGCCCCGAGCAGGCGAAAGCGAGCGACGGTGGTAGAAGTCAGAGAGCGGTCGCGGAGTGATGGCTGTGTCCTGGGGAAGGTACTTGGGGTCCCCAAGCTGGATGCCTTTGTACCAGACTTGAGGAGGTGACCGTGCACTCTCGGAGAAATGCCGCATGGCTGCATTTGACAGTTTGCATGTCCACCTCAGTGAATAGAGGCTGCTGTGGCGAGCACAGTGGGGAAATGGCCTGGAGGTGAGGGTCGCCTGACTTCAGTGGCTGTTTGGATGTAAACAGCCGCCCAGGCTTTGGTCCCTGCCATTTCACAGATCTGCTCCCAGGAGGGTGCTCGTTGCCCGAGGATTCTGAAGTGCCACCTGCTGTACTTCTGCATCTATACCACTCCTTTCTAAAAGAGCCAACAGTTTTCTGGCTAAAAGAAAGAAATCTTGAGGACAATGCCAGTTGTTCCATACAAGCTGAACAATGCAAGAATCAGCATCTGACTGCGGAACCTTACCGCCAAAGGAATCTATTGTGCTTTCAAATCAGTGACCAAATATTTACTCATCTCTCTTGGGGAGCAGGAATTAGACATTTCCTCTGTGTTCCAGGAAGCTAGAAACTCGGCTCCAGTGTAGAAGCAACTTGGGGAAGACAGTTTGAGTTGACATACCAGCGAGCATCCCCAGGGAGTGGCAGCAGTTTCCCTGCAGCGCAGTCTGCGCTGAGCTTGGGCTGGACACTGGGACGGCCCAGACAGGAGCAGAGTGGGCCTCCTGGGGCTTGTGGTGGGGGAGGCAATGGACACGTGAGCCAGTGCCCAGGACATTGGGGGCTGGTGGGCACAGTGGCTGAGCAAGAGGCCCTAGGGTGGGTGGCAGGGTGAGGGCAGATTCAAGCAGTGGGGGTGGTGCAACCAGGGAGGAGGCAAGAAATGGTGCCACTGGTGAATTCACAAGGGCGAGGAAACAGGTGGCCTGAGATGCGCAGGTGAGCTGCTGTCTCCTCTCATGCCTCAGACTGGGCCTGCCCTGTCTGCACATGGCAACCTCCCTGACACATCTCCATACCAGAGGATTTCAGACCAATATTACCTCCTGGGAGGCATTGACGCCTCCATCCTACCACATTGATGCCTCCATCCTACCGTCTCACCTGCTGGTGGGATGTTCTAGACACTTCTTACATGTGAGACCATCCCAGACTTCGGGTGGTTGGAGTGCCAGGTTGGGAAGCTGTAGGAGACCTTGGTCAAGCCCAGTGTCTGCCATCAATGTCCTGTGGAACCCTGGGCCATTCCACAGAATAAAGTGAAGGAATTGGATTAACTCTGTTGAGTCTGCATTTCAGAGTGTCTCGGTATTTATTCCGGAAGTCTCACTCCATTGCCTGTGATACAGGAAAATGCTTCTCTCAAAGTCAAGTGTGTTGGGTGAGGTACATGGGTTCATGCACCCCGAGCCTATGGCCTGCGTCCTCCAACTCTGTAGTGTCGTGGACTAAACGTTTTGGTCACACAGAAAACCTGTGTAACCTGAAAAACTTGCAGGGTAAAAGTTTCCTCTGCTGTAGTTTCTGTAGGTGAAAAGGAGTGAGCTTTTCTTCCAGAAACTATGAAGCAGACTTGTGTTTGCCTTTGAGAACTTCCAAACACTAATATTTGTAACACGTTTCTCTTTCTGGAAGGAAACTTCAGGATATGGTAAGATCTTCGCTCCATAAGACTAAGCTATTGCTGAGACATTTTATGGCTTGATTTCGTTCTCTGGAAGTGTAAAGTTCTCCTCTCTGTCTTGTCTTTTCTCTGCAGCCAGAAAATGGGGAAGAAGAGTCGAGTGAAAACACAAAAATCAGGCACCGGTGCATCGGCAAGTGTGTCCCCAAAGGAGACCTTGAACCTGACCAGCGAGCTGCTGCAGAGTAAGTGCTGCCCGGCCTTTCTGAGCCCATGGGGGTGCAGCTCCTGTGCACCCCCAGTGCCTGGAAGGTGGGGGGTGGCCACTGGTACATGAAGTGAAACAAATGTGTGTTAACACCATAGCTCGTGACCCAGATATTTAGAGAAAACTGTAACTGCATTTATCCCATCTGTGAAATGGGGTTACCAGCACCCCTTGACTCTGCATACTGCTTAGGGGGCCCAGAGGAATATGGGTGTCAAGCTTCCGGGGCCACCTGACATGGCCTCCCTGGACTCTGGGCTCTAGGCCCAGCCCGGCCCCTTCAACAGTGTGGCCAGCAATAGTGGCTGATCCCCTCAATCCTCAGTCAGGACTGTCTCGGGACGGTGAGGCCCCTGGGAGCCAGGGTCACCTGGAGAGCCGGCCTTTGGGACTCGCCCTGTTCTGGAAAGACTCGCCGCCACTTAGTGTCCCAGGCTACATGCTGACGTTTGTGAGTTCTCGCTTTAGGGAGGTTGAATGGCAATTAAATACCTGTGCTCGCTTTCCTAAGTCTAAAATGGTAGCTTCCTTTTCCTTTTTAATTGTGAATTGCAATTATAATTATAAGTCTCAAATTTAGCTGTGGTCACTCTATTAACTAACAGCATTGACCTCATTTTCTTTCTCAATGTTTAGAATGAGGTGACAGGCTAATCTTTCCCAGCTTTCCCTCCTTACAGACGCAGGCAGTACCCCAAAGTGGTCAGCTCCCTCCCCGAGTGCTCCCTGTGTCCCCTGCCCAGCTCAGTGCCATCCCTCCCCAGAGCACGATGCACCTCCACCTCCTTCCCCCAACTCCGTGGTCCCCCCAGAGTACAATGCACCTCTACCTGCCTCCCCCAGTTCCCTGGTCCCCCCAGAGCATGATGTACCTCCACCTCTTCCCCCCAATTCAGTGGTCCGCCCCAGAGCACGAGGAACCCCACCTCTCTCCCCCTGAGACTGAGGGCACCCTAAGGGCAGGCTCCCCTTGCTGGGCTTCCCTCCCTTGGTCAGTCTTTGTAAACGGAAGGGTGAAGCCGGGCGGTTAACCTTAATGGTTTTGAGTCAACACTTAACCAGTTACTGTGAATTATTTGCCGCGTGTGCCCTTTTCCTCAGAGAGCAGAGGGCCAGGCACTTCAGCAAGAGCTTTGAACTGGTCCTCTGGCTTCCAGAGGACAGAGCCTGGTGGGCAGGGTGCCCAGCGGGCCGCGTTCCACAGCCACCCGCCCCCACACGGGTGTGGGTCTTTCCGCTGCCGTGGACTCTGAGCCTCCCTTTTAGCAGTGGTGGTGCCACCCCCTTTGTCTCTCCCCCGGAGCGCTTAATATAGTGCCTTACCCATGGCTGGGAGCAGTGCTGACTGACTGGCCTTCTGTCCAACTTCCCGGTTCCCTCAGGGAGCCATTGTTAGGGCTTAACTAGAAACAATTGTTGCCTTTTTACACTCCCTTCTTTTACTCTCAAGAAGAGTTTTAAGGGAAACGAGTTTACATTTTAGCTCAGCTTTTTAGATTTTCCAGTTCACAAGTGTGTTCTGAGCAAACTAGATCAGAAGCAGCAAGAACAAGGTCCCCACAAGCCTGGCACCTGCACGTGGGTCCTGGGGTCTCACGGAATCGGTGGTGTTTGAGTGGCTGCAGGGCATTGTACACGCTTTCAAAGGTCCTAACTCATCCTCCTCTCGTTTGTCACTGGGACTGTGGTGGTCACTGTCCTTTAAAGTCAACCAGCAGCAGCAACAAACAGGGCCTCTTTCTCCTGGACACTAACATTAAAGTGGACGAACACTGACCGTGACCTTGTGTTTCAGAATGCAGCAGCCCCGCGCCCGGCCCGGGGAAGGAATGGGAGGAGTATGTGCAGATCCGCTCTCTCGTGGAGAAGATACGGAAAAAACAGAAAGGTAAGTGTTCTAGAATGGAACTCCTGTTTTAGCCGGTCAGGTGGAGACAGTGTCATCGGACTGGCGAGTAAGGCTGGGAGCTCTGACGCCCAGGAGAGCCAGCGGGGTGATGGCGCCAGCCGCTGGCTCGCCTCCCGTTCCCGAGCTACTGCTTGGCCAAGGGTAAAACTGCTGAGCATTGGGAGAGAAATAAAGTTTGTCTCTGGGGGCTGAAATGACACAACTGTTATTTATTTTATCTTTTGAAATGTGTGTTCAAATCTGTTTCCTTTGGGCTTTGAGGTCAGCCCAGAGTGGCGTGTGTGGTCCACGCCCAGCTCTGTGCCTTAGGGCCGCGTGCCAGCCAGTGGATAGGGTGGACACCAGCGTGTCCTGATTAAGAGAGGTGCCTGAGCCCCCGAATTGTGTCCTTGTGGGGTGTATTCAGCAGTGTGACGATTCCCGGCCAAGCTGGTGATGTGGACAAGTGTCAGCTTGAAAAAGCTTATTCAGTATTTTGGTTTTGTTCTGCAAAGCACAAAAGTAAAGATTGGTGTACAGGCCCACGCAGAAGGGGTGTGGAGCCGAGAGCCTGCGTGTGGAGGAGAGGGGAGCTTCTCAGACACTCCCTTTCTTCACTGCCTCACGTGGTCATCCTTCACAAAAGTGGGGGCCTCAAACCCTGATGGGCTGGTGCCCCATGATGTGTGTGTTGGCACTGAGAGGTCGACTCTGCTAACCCCTGCTCTGTGATAGCGAGAAGGTTTTGTGTGTCCTGGGGGTCACATGTCACAGACCGTTAGTCGCAGTGGACACTGAGGTCATGCAGGTGCTGCTTCCTGCAGTGACAGTGAACTTGCATCTCCCTGGCCAGCCAGTTCTCACCTCTGGCAGACACAGTGCTGGGCAGCCCCATGGCACATGCTGGGTGGACGTTAGTTACCTGGCACCGTGGCCACAGCACTTGGGCTGCCTCCCACACCCCGCTCCTCACCTCAGCAAGTCCCTGTGTCTCGCGTTCTTCTGAAGCATGTTTTCCCCTTGTATTGCTTCTCATCTTTGTGACCCTCTCAAACATGATGGAAAGTCCAGAGAATAGTCTAACACCAAGCATGCACCTCCCACGGAGTTGAGGTTCGGGTTCTCCGTCCTTTCCTGCTCTCCCACCTGCTCATCCGCTGCCCCTTCTCCCACGTTTCCCGTGTCCTTTGTGTTTAAGATCCGAGACCTCGAAGACAGAGCCCAAGCCCAGGCCTCCACCCATCACCTGCCCTCCGCCTCGGGCGTCTGTCTTGCCGTGGCGGTGTTTCTGCCCCTCCCCAGGACCCTGCACACACATGCATCAGCACATTCCACATCGGTGGCACCATACTTATTGATTTTTTAAGAAATGGTCATTTTTGCATTAGTTGCTGTACATGGGTACGTAGGGCCTCCGCTGGCGCTCGGAACCAGGCCGTGCTCATTCGCACCAGGGCTTCCTGTGTGCAGGTGTGAGCTGCTGATGTGTCTCATGGGGTCCCATGGGGCCGTGGGGTGCGTTGCTCTGCACCTGCAGTCAACGAGGCTCCCCTCCCGCCACACAGGCCCACAGTGTCTCACCCAGTGTCAGCCACTCTTCTCTAGCCCACGGGCCTAGGATTTTGATTCCCCTTTCCTGTTCTGAGTTAAGAAATGTTCCATGACTCTCTGTTAGGTCTGATTTTTGTTTCAAGTTTGGCGCGTTATGACTCTCTCCTAGAGCTAGATAAGGCCTGTTTTCCTCTCCTGAGACCGAGTGTGAAGGCCATGGGCCCTAAAAGTGCCTCTTGTTCTTTGAAATGGCTTGGTTTAGGTCTGTCTGTTACTTTTGATGGGAAAAGAGAAGATTACTTTCCTGATCTGATGAAATGGGCCTCTGAAAATGGAGCCTCCGTGGAGGGTTTCGAAATGGTTAACTTCAAAGAAGAGAGCTTCGGTTTGAGGGCAACCAGAGATATCAAGGTGAGTGCGTGAGCGGGGTCTGGGGGCCCCCTGGGCCTGGAGTCCCCGGGTCTGGGTTGTGGTGCTGTGCAGAGGTGCCAGGCAAGGAGATAGACACCTTGAGCTTGTTCTGAGCCTTGTGGGGAAGCAGGAAGCTCGCTATCAACACCCCTGCTCCTGGGCACCCCTGGTGCCTCCTAATTGACAGTGGGGCACATGTCTCAGGTGGTCCCTTCCAGTGCATCCCTCCTGAGAGCCATGCTGTCAGCCAGTGACCTGGACACCTGTTCATATTCCTTGGTCTCTGCTGGACTGTGGAGCAGAATCCTGAGATTTCAATCAAGAGAAGGCTGTGGGCTCGGGTGGCTCGGAGGGAGGCCGTGCAGCATGCAGGCGTGTGTGTGGGGTGCGGCAGCAACGGGCCCTGGCAAGGACGCTTACTGACCTTGTAGAGTGGGTCACTGAGCTGTTGGAGGGACCTACCAAAACAGCGACGTCAGAGGCCACGGGAAGAGAGGCACATGTGGCCCTCCATACAGGGCTGCGTGGCGTCCTCACCCCGCGTGTCCTTCCAGCAGAGGGGACCGCGGCAGCGCCCTGGCAGACCGGCCCACTCTGCCCCACCCATGGGTCTCTGCTCGCGAGGAGGCGTGACTGTGTCTGTCTGACCTGTTTGGGAGAAGAAGCAGGGCTTGGCCTTTTCCTCGGCAGGCGCTGGCTGCCCACGTGCCTTTCTGCTGCTGTGCGCTCCCCTGGTGAATTGGCAGGGCAGCGCCAGTCTGCCTGTAACTAGGTGGGGGAGTCTGTCTAATTGTGGGATTCAGTGGGTGATATTTTGGGTGACCATCTGTTGTATTCTTGTGTCTCTGTCAGTTGGTTCAGGATTTGGGTGGAGGAAAAGGGTATTATCTGCTTGGGCCCTCCAACCTCCAGCTGCACTGAAAGGCTGCAGTCAGCCTCGCCACTGTGCGTGGATAAACGTGCGTGGGCTTAGCTGCACTGTTAAGTGTGGCACATGAGAGGTGCCTCGGTGGTTATCACGCCAGGCTTCCAAAACCCCCCCAAATCCCGGAATCTTCCTTCATGATGCCTGTAATCTGTGGTAAGGGGCAAGACATGCGAAGTAATTCGCACGGTAGCTGCTGAAAAAGGGAAGAGGAGCAAGGTGTCCTGAGGCAACTCTTGTGTCAAATGAGACTGACAACATCACAGTATCAGGGTGGTCGCTGCCCCCAAATAAACTAGCTGTGGTTTCTCTTCTCTATGTGTTTTTTAAAAAAACTTAATTCTAATTGATACACAGAACATCACATGTGTAACATGCATTCTGAGTTCATATACAGAGGTCTACTGCATGACCGTGCCACATGCAAGGCACTCCCACAGGTGTTTTAGGGAGTATAGCTGCTGCAGACAGCCCAAAAGCAGCTTCTCACATCTCCCCCAAATGAGAGAACACTGGAGCAAAAAATGAGTAAGGTGGAACGTGTTTCTCGAACTTGGGCTTTTGCTGGTAATTACTGTGCCTCAAAGACAAGACTGGAGAGGAAGGAATGTTACTCTACTTTCAGAAACAGTAGCAGGCTGAGGTTTCGCTCGCAGGAAGTTGTTGTGTTTTGTTTTTAGAACTTTAAAAATGTAAATACAGCAAAGGATAAGAAACCTTTTGTTCTCCCCCCCAAATCATTGTATTTGCTTCCCATTCAAGTTTCCAAAAGTGCTTTTGATTATTTGTCTTCTGAGTCTATCCAGTTCATTTTGTTTTGCTTTTAGATTTCAAGCCATGCTTCTGCTCACCCAACTATAGCATAAATGCTTAGATTTTCAAATATTTAAGAGTGTTGCTATTAGAAATGAAAGTGTCTGATGTGTTCGTGTCGGCAGGATTGGGTTTCTGATCATAGTAGTTGAAAGTTGTACCATGTTTTGGTGATTCTAATATTTTCTTTTTTCCCCCAGGCAGAAGAATTATTTTTATGGGTGCCACGAAAATTGCTAATGACTGTGGAATCTGCTAAAAATTCAGTGTTGGGTGAGAATAATTTCTGACTGTTCAAAGCAAAGCACAAATGAGAAGAATATATACTTTTTTTTGGCATTAAGGGTCATACTTGGTGGTTTTCTCCACTAGGGCACTATTCCCCCCAGTCCATGATACGGGTCCTGACACAGTCAGACATCAGAGGAAAGGCGCACGTTGCTTTAGCTATGGCAAGACATTTGGGTTATTTAACTTTAACATACAGGCTGAATAAATCCCTTTAAAAGAAGTTTGTGTGACTTAACGCTGTTCATTCTGGTTGATCCAGGGCCCTTGTATTCTCAAGACCGAATTCTTCAAGCCATGGGCAACATCACCCTGGCCTTCCACCTGCTGTGTGAGCGGGCCGACCCCAACTCCTTCTGGCAGCCCTACATCCAGACCCTCCCCAGTGAGTACGACACCCCACTCTACTTCGAGGAAGACGAAGTCCGGTATCTCCAGTCGACCCAAGCCATCCACGATGTCTTCAGCCAGTACAAGAACACGGCTCGCCAGTACGCCTACTTCTACAAGGTCATCCAGGTAAGTGGCTGCACTCCGGAACTGTGTCCGCAGTGGAGTGGGGGTGGGGGGGCCTTGCACGCCTGCACCCCACTCTGTGCCTTCTCGGGAAGCTCCTGGAACCTCTTCCTCTCAGTGGAAAGGCTTTGTTTCCACTTTTACAGAAATGTCACTGAAGTGGGGTTTGTCTGGATCTGCCCTCAATGGTGGCCAGAGTAAAGCCGTCGGCCTTCCTAAATTAGGAAAACCACTGCATTTTGCCAAAAACAAGATTACAATGAGACTGTAAAAGCTCTAGAATGTACCTGATACAAAAAGGTGCTCTGTGTATAAATTTTCCAAGAAAACGAAGGTCCATTGGTGGGTTTTTCATATTTATGATGTCTGTACGTGTGACCCTTAGTGCCTTACACACTATTTACAGTCTGTGTGTGTGGAGTAAAAGTGTGTGTATAGTGTGAGTATGACAACCTCATCAGTGGGCTTGGCATAGCTATATCTGTAGTACAATGTTGGCAGTTAATTTGGCAGTTAAACTTCAGCACCGACCTCTTCATGTTTCCCAGAGCACTGGGCACTCTGGGAGTTGAAATTACAAGTATCATGGAACAGCCCCTATAAGCCAGAGGTATTAGATTCGCCCCAGACACCTTTCCAGTTCAGCCTCAGTGTCTACGCCAGGGACAGTGGCTGTGGTTCTGAATGGGTGTCTCGAGGTCCCTCCAGAGCTTTGTGTGGGGTGTGTTTGCCGCCTGGATGTCCACTCTCAGTTGTGCAAGTGTCAGCTCCTGAGCTGCTGGACCTGGTGCGTGATAAGTGGGAAAAGAGCTGCTCCCTTTCCCTTCCCTGTGGGCAATTCGACAACCTGAATGAGGCTCCATTTGGCTGTTCTTCCTGTGGTCTGTCCCTGCTGTGTTTTTTTTTTTTTTTTTTTTTTAACAAGCTCTGGCCAGTTTTATTAAGAAAAAATTTTGCATGATTTCCTTCTTGCCATCTATTTGGTGCCTCTAATACTCGCAGACTGCCAGGACCAGAGGCAGGCAGAGCACAGACTCCAGTATATTCCACACGCGGTGCCCGGGGCAGGACTCTCGCTGCTGCCCCGACAGACGCCTGTCGGGGCTGCCATGGCGAGTGACCGTCTCAGATTTCCTCAGGGCTGGGCAGCAGTTGGCGAGCCTGACCAGCTTCGCTTGCCCCGTCTGGCTGTTTTCAGAGTCTGCTTCTCCCCAGCATGTGCTTTCCACGTTTCATGATAAGCTGGAGCCCAGAGCGGATCAGCTCCAGTGACTTTATGGTCTTTGAGGCCACATCTTCCTGCCTCGGGTGCAGCTGCCAAGGGGGCCCAGGGGGCAGGAGGGTGGAGAAAAGCAGAACATGTCATCTCATTTCATCGCTACAGGGAATGCTGTTTTTCTATCAGTCACATAACTTTACAGCATTCTTACTGCAAAAGAACTTTATACTCAAGTGGTATCCTCCCCAAGCAAACACTCAAATACATAAAAAATATGAGTCTTATCCTCAAGTCAAAATCGAATTTGTTTTTCTAAACTTTAGAAAAATTATTAAGACTGATCACACATTAGGTATGTAGTTTTTATTCAAGTTTACTCCATAAAATACCTATTGAGCCAAATCAAAACTTGAATTTCTCATTCAGTGTGCATCTACACACCCGTGGTCTGACGTTCCCTCTGACTCTGTGACCTGAAAGGGCTGTGCTTTTATTTCTGGTTCTTAATTCTGGGTTTTTAATGAGTGACCTTGGAGCCGACGTCAGCAGTCTTTGCCAGTTCCTGTTGTTGGCAAACTGGAGACTAACTCTGTTCACTGTGTGTTTCTTAAATCTGGCCCGTCATGGTTGTCCACGCCTGTAACCTGTCTTGAGAGGAGGCCCTCTCTGTTATCTGGTGGAGTATTCTGGAATGACGGCAGGCCTCCCGATGACTGGCTGGGCATGAGGGCTCTTGGGTAGCCTGTTACAGCCTCTGGTCTGTTTTTCTCAGTATGAACTAATTGGACTTTATTCTTTGGAACTGCACTGGAATGTGAAGATTTTAAATGACTGAGTCATTAAAATACTCTCTTCCTTTATATGGAACTTGTGATGTCAGTCTATTTAAGAGCCAGGTCTCTTCATAACCTCCTGAAGAAAAGCCTTTTAGATGATGATGTCAAGGAGACGAAACTGCCCCACATCTGTGTAGTAAATAGTATTATTATTATTTTTAAAAGATTTATTTATTTATTTATACAGGCACTGGGTACAGTCAGAAGCGCGGGAGGGTGAGAGAATTCACCAGAGCCAGAGCAGGGAGCAGAACAGGCAGACTGACGAAACACACTGTTGAGGGGAGCAACGGGTATGGCAGGAGAGGTCTGCCGCGCCATGTGGGACCCTCGCCGGTGGCTGGGGATCGAACTGGTGCTGCAAAGGCTGCGGGCAGCTTTGCAGCCCAGCGCTCAACCGCTGCGCCACCAGGGTATGCCCAGTAAATAGTATTATTGTGAGCTTATTAGGGGCCAGAACACATTCTGAAAGTCAGCGTTCAGTCAGAAGTTGTTCAAAACGTAATAAAATTCACACATGACTAATAAGATCAATTTGTGTAAATTATAACAAATGTGATATCCTTGGGAAAAAAAACCAGAGACACACTACGGGGGTGAGGAGGGAGTAGGATCAAAACAAGAGAGGTAGGAATTATATGGGGACTATAACCAAGATGAAAATACATACATTGTGCAGAAATGAAAAGTGATGTAAAAAATATATAAAATTTAAAAAATGCTAAAACAAAACAAAATTCTTTTTATTTTTTTATTTTTTTTTAAATATTTATTTATTTATTTATACAAGCACTGGGTACAGTCAGAAGCGCGGGAGGGTGAGAGAATTCACCAGAGCCAGAGCGGGGAGCAGAGCAGGCAGAAGGACCGAAGTACACTGCTGAGGGGAGCAGCGGGCGGCAGGAGAGGTCTGCGCGCCATGTGGGACCCTCCTCCGGTGGCCGGGGAGCAGCCGGGGATCAAACCGGCGCTGCAGAGGCTGCGGGCAGCTTCGCAACCCAGCGCTCAACCACTGCGCCACCGGGGAGGCCCCAAAGTTCTTTTTAAAGCATTAATGGGCCTACCCGTTACTCTTTAATTTATTTTCCTTTTTGTTGAAAACTTTAATAAATGTGGAAGCTACAGTATATATCCAAATGTGAAATTAAAAGATAATCAAATATTGGCTTTTTTGCACAAGTAAGTCAATCTATTGGGGCAAAAAAGGCCATGATTATTGACTGTTAAAAGTATGACGAAATGTGTCACGCACAGTGAGGTAGGCTCCTCCTTCACACGAGGCTCTGCCCATGTTTGGAGACAGCTTTAGACTGGAGAGCAGGCAGGGCATGCTGCTAAACTTGCATGATGTACAGGGCAGCCTCCCAGCCCAAAACGTCAATAGTGCTGACATTTGGTGCACAAAGCACCTCAAATAGTCCCCATCGCGTCTTTCCTGCCTAGTGACTGGAAGTTGAGGGCTGGCCCCTGGCTGCTGGGAGCTGCGGGTGCCAGGTGGTCTCGTGAGCCAATTCCAGGCCCTCTTGACTGCGGCCCTATGTTGAAACTCTTCCAAAGTACCCACTGGCAACTGTCATTTAATAACCTTCAAATATAAGACCAGGTTTCGAGACCTTTGACTTGTGAGGGACGTAAAAACAGGACAGACATTAAACAAACAAAAGAGGCATGGAGTGCAAATGACTCTTGACTGACTGCATGGGTTTGGGAGCCCAGGCGAGACTCTTGGAACTGCACGGGACGGGAACGCTCCGTGGTCGGGAGGGGGTTTCACCAGGAAGGGGGCACCAGAATGCTGGGTGTGGGAGACTGTGGCAAGGCCAGTGTTCTGAGTGTGGCTTAAGGCAGGGAGGGGCCAGCCGTGGCCACGGCCCCTGAGAGCGGGGACCCCTGCCCGCGCAGAGAGAACTCCCACACTGGGGTGAAGGCCGAGTCCAGCTCTCCCCAGCTGTGCAGACGCAGGCTGGAATTGGGCTCTTGTCTCCTGAGCTGTGAGGTAAAACTGTGAAGACCCACGTGTCCCAGGCATTGCCAGCCCCCCTGGACCGTGCTCTTCCCTCCAGCACCTTTCCTGCCCGCTTACCTGTGCAGGTTACTTGCTTGCTTTCCCTTGCTTCACAGTGTGGCTCAAGGGCTCTTTAATTTTACTTTGTACCTACACTGCATTCCTCTTGATGATGTTCAGTATACATTGTGTCCTCAGGCAGTCCCGATACTAGTATGTAATTAAGCTCCAGGCCTTTTGAGAGCACACCCCCCACTTAAGACACTCTGCTGGTGAGACTGTGTACTGCAGCGTGGTGGCTGCCCACGCCTGGTGTGCAGAGGGCTGGGCCTGGCCCTCCAATCCTCGGTGACTCCGAGGCGGCCGTCACCATTCGCAGGTGACAGGCTGGGGTGCCAGAGCCCGCCAAGCGGTTTTGCACCCCAGGCCCTCCCCCCGCACCTTCTCCTTGCTCCAATCCTGGGTCTTTCCCACCAGTCTGATCAATAGAATTTTTTGTGAAATTCCCCACAAATTCAAAACAAAAAGACACCTTGAAACCTGGTTTTTTTTTTTTTTAGCCCCTCTGAGGTCTATATATGGTGAATAAATTCCGTCTCTGCTGGGACAGGATGTTGGGGTTTTATCTTCTGTTTTGTTTTGAATGTGTGGTAAAGAGGGAACCTGCTCTCATTCTCTGAAGCTGAGGATAAGCACCTGACGCTGAGTTACCCGAGCTCATATGGTCGGCTGCAGAGCTGCATGGGGAGGTGGGGGGGTGCAGCTGGGGTCATTGTGCTACAACCCTACATTCTCAGCATCCTTCATCTCCTCCTTGGAAGAAATCATTTGCCCATGAAAGCATGAAGAGCATGGTGGGGCCACGAGGGAGCACCCTGACTTTCACGATTAGATTATTAACAGATCAGTTCCCGTCCAGCTGGGGCTGGGTGGCTTCGTGCTG